ACACCCTTAATAAATTTTGTATTTTTGGCCTCAACAATTCTAGGTGTGTGTGATGGATAGTAAAATTTATAACCTTTAGATTTTTCTACGTAGCCAATGAAATATCCACTGACTGTCTTTGAGTCCAATTTTTTTAATTGTGAATTGTAAATCTTAACCTCAACTAAACAGTCCCATATGTGAAAATGTCCTAAACTGGGTTTCCATTCTTTCCATAACTCAAATGGAGTTTTGGGAACGACTTTAGTGGGAACCTTATTTAAGATATACGTTGCTGTCTTCAAGGTTTCACTCCACAAAAACAAAGGAAGATTAGAGTTGTTTAGCATACTCCTTTCCATGTCTATAAGGGTGCAATTTTGCCTTTTAGTCACACCATTTTGGTAAGGAGAACCTGACATAGTATCCTGAACAACAATACCTTCATCCTTTAAATATTCAGCAAATAGACCTGGCCTTTGTTCCAAATCTGTGTACCTTCCATAATATTCCCCACCCCCATCTAACCGTACAATTTTAATTTTTTTTTGCCAATTATTTCTCTACTTCCCGTTTGAATGTTTTAAAAGCATCCAATGCCTCAGATTTTCCAAACAGAAGGTAGAGATACATAAATCGTGTATGATCATCAATGAATGAGATAAAGTATCTCTAACCATTTAAGCAAGGAGTAGAAAATGGTCCACAAATATCAGTGTGTATGATTTCAAGTATTTCTTCACTTGTTGGTTTGTTTTCTCTTTATGCAATCCATACAAGTACCAAAATCAGAAAAATCAAGAGCCTTTTAAGACTCCATCATTAATCAATCTTTTAATTCTTTCCATGGAGATAGGTCTTAATCTCCTGTGCTACAACATAGAGGAATTCTCATCAATAATAGTCCTTTTAGTGCCAATATCATCATACAAGGTTAGGAGACTATGTTCAAAAATAGGATCCAAATTTAATTTGTACAAACCATCAACTAAGGTCCCATAACTAACAAAACTAGAATTTTTGAACAAACAAAAGTCCAAACCAACAAAGCTGAATTCAAATCCTAAAGGTACTAATTTAGAAATAGAAATTAAGTTCTTAAAAAACAAATGAACATAAAGAGTATTTTCAAGATCCAAAACAAAGCCAGTTTCTAAAACAAGTCTCAAAGTTCCAACAGCCTCGACGTGAGAACGCATCCCATTTCCTGAATAGACGCCATGTTCACTTTTCATCGTTTTCCTTAGGCTGGGGAAGTCCTGCATGATATTGACAACATGAATTGTGGTACCCGAATCAATCCACTAAGTATTATGATAAGAATCACTTAAATTGGATTCATAACACACAAGAGATATGAGATTACCTTCTCAAGCCACTTTTTATATTTCAGGCAATCTTTCTTGAAGTGTCTCTTCTTCTTGCAAAAGAAACAAGCATTCTTATGGCTATGTTTCTTGAATGACCCTTTGCCATCTTTCTTTTATTTAAAAACACTTTTGCCTTTCTTAACTTGTCCACCTTTATGAGTGATCAGATGGGCACTCTCCAAATTTTCATACTTAAGCCTCTCCTCTTCTTGAACACACATAGTCAGAATTTCATTAATGGACCATTTTTCTTTGTGTGTTATAAGAGATTTTGAATGATCCAAATTCTGCAGGGAGAGAGTTAAGTATGAATTGAATAAGAAATGACTCAGAGATCTCAACCTCAAGGGACTTAAGTTGAGCTGCAATGTCCCTCATTTTCATAATATGTTCACGCACACTCCTAGATTTGTTATGCTTAATGCCTGATAACTTGTTCATCAAGGTGCTGGCCAAGGCTTTATCTGAACTGACAAATTGCTCTTCAATGGCTTTCATGTAGTCCTTCACTTTATCGCATTCTGGAATAGAATCTCTGATACTCTTGCTTACATGTGACTTGATGAGCATCAGACTTAGGCGATTAGATCGCTCCCACTGCTCATAGGCACTATTTTCAGTCAATGAACTTAACTCAGTGGGTACTGGAGGTTCTTCAATGTGAAGTGCCAAATCCAAATCCATGCACCCTAATGCGAAGAGAATTTTGTCTTTCTAATCCAAAACATTTCCACCACTTAACGATGAAATGTTAGAAGACTCATTAAATAAAGAGGTAGCAACAACTGCAATAACCAAGAATATAATAAACACTTTGAAACAATAACTGTAAAATTCAATAGAGCAAATCTAAATCCTCCTATGGGTGGAGGTCATAATCTATACAAGATTTGCTTATTATTCTTTATAATAAGACTAATGAATTAAAATACTAAGGAATAAAGGATCTGAAACCTGTGGGTATAAGGTATCCAAAGCCCTTAATACTTCATTCAATATCTTATTCTAATTAAGTAGTATAAAATAAATACTTTCCAGTAGGGCCGAGTAATTATCTATAACAACTTAATCGCAATATGAAGATATTAAACATATACTTAATATGATCAAACTAAATGTTGATCATTCAATAATATAATTCAAGATGCTGTGGCTAGGGCTGTTAGTCGAACGAGCCCGAGTCGAGTTTGAGCCGAGCTTGAAAAGCTTGTTTCTTAATCGAGCTTTAAAATTGTTCAAGTTCTGATCGTTTAGGAAACGAGTCAATCCTGAACGAGCCGAACCCGAGTCGAACCCGAGTATTTACACATAAATGAGCCGAGTTGTAGGGCTTATTTTCTAAACGAGCCTAAAAACTTGTTCAAGTTCGGGCTCGTTTAGAAAACGAACCAAGCCTGATCAAGCAGAACTCAAATCAAGCTCGAGTAGCTCAGTTTGATTAACTACCCTAGCTGTGGTTATTCTTAAGTTAATATGATATCTCCATGTGACATAGTTCATGACATAAATAAATCTTTCATGCCAAATAATTCTTTAAAAATGCTTTTGTCTAGCATGCATATACCATAACTAAACTTGATCCAAAAACATGTTAATATTATTAAATAATTATCTGAAGTAAAACCATGTGCATAAACTATGAGAATATAACAATAAACAATCCTTAGACATAATAGTGACATATTATTCGTGCTAATATTATTGACATAAGAGTAATCATAACAGTAAACATAACAGTAGCATGAAAGTAATGTCACTGTTCCTGATGACATATACGTTACTGAATTTTTTTTTTTTTATCAAAAGTTTTCTATAATCAACCAAAATTTCCTGTGTGCATAGAAAATTCTGTCATCAAGAGATTTGACACAATGAGGAGGCTTACGCTAAATGAATTTTCAAATTCATGTAATTGGCCTTTTGTGAATGGGAAGATAAACATCAAAAAAAAAAATCCCCTCGTGAAACGCATCAAGAGTAAAGACCAAATAATTTACTTTTTGGTTTAAAGATTGTTTGACAGAATGGCTTTAATGGAGGTTAACGCCTCCTCTGTCAAACAAATTTAGAAATCAGAATTTTTTTTTTTTTAATGAGCCTTAAAGATCACATTAAAACCATACCAATAAAATAAGTGATTCTAAAAATCTGAAAATTAAATCAGTTAAACCAAATGTGGGTTATACATGTGACCGAAAGTTTTATGTGTAGACTTAATGTTTCAAGAAAAGCACACGTCCCAACATCCAAGCCTTTATAGTTTTTCTTTGATTATTTTAATATTTCTTGTGTGACCTTAATGTATCAAGAGAAGGCATGTTTCTGTGGTACATATTTGTGCGGATTCCAATCATATTTAAGTCCATATGTTTCAGAGGAGACAAAATATTTGAACAGACATCAAACATACGGTAGAACGATTGCAGACAAAATATGATTTCTCATAATCATAATAATTGAACAAAATGGACAGAAGGATGACTCTGATACCAATTGATAGACTTTATTAAAGAATTTAATCTTCCTATTTAGCATAGCGGAATTGAATATTTACCTCCTGCCATTGATGTTCAAGTTTGAGTACAAGAAATTCGAATTCTTTACAAAGAGAATATTCAATGACCCCAACAAGCACAAATACGTATCACAGTCTTGATCTCAACGCTTAAGAAGAACACCCAAGAACAACCTCACAAATATGTACTGAATAGAGGTATATGAGAGAAGAGTTTCCTGCCTACGTATATGATATCTGAATCCCATATGACTTGATGGAAAATCATAGGCATGAGAACATATATAGGTAGGGACCCTTATCCAATAGAGACACTGCAAGTAACGTTCTTCCATCAAGGAGTTACAACTACTTTAAACTGCTCCATGATAGTCACTCCATCTGATAATGGGAGTAGTGGGTAGTTTCCTTAAAGTCAGTTATCCAGAAGGATTTGATTCAGTAAATAGGATATATATATATATATATATAATATTTATTTATTAAAAAGATGACATGGCATGTGGGCCATCTTAAGTCTCTAAATAGAGATAGAGTCCAATTTAATTAGACATAAAGTCCAACATCTAATGCTATAAATTTGATTTGCCCTATGTTTTTGTGGTGACCACAAAACCTAGTCTTCAATATTCACCCTGTAAGGCCAGAAAATGAAGTTTGTGATTGGTGAAGTGTTGTTACTTGAATGAGATAGACTCATTGACAGTAAGTTTACATGTTAGTGTTTAGTTTGTTGTGCTGATTCAATGAGTACCCATATTTTTTATTTGAAGGGAGAGTGAATTGTAAAGCTAAACAATAGATTTATTTACCCATAGTGTTCAAGCATTGTGTGCAAATAATTCATTTTGATAGGAATAAGGACATATCTAGTTTAGTTCATTTTGATAGGAATTATTCATTTTAATAAACATATCTAGTTTATGGGGGGATGTGTGCTCAAGCTTTCATTTTGATATAAATAGATTTATTTATCTATTTATTTACACGAGCGTGGCCGTATTTTTTTTGGTTTTGGTTTTTGCACCTTAACCTTTATTTTTCTGTTATTCTTATAGTTGTGCTTCTATTAGATTAGTTGTTTTTCTTTGCTTCTACAATTCTCTTAACCCACATTAAGTATCCTCATTGAACATATGACCGAAGACTCTACTCTTGTTTTGTCAAAGGTGTCTGCTTTAAATGAGGCAGTTACAGGAAGTGTGAAGTCAGTTTTCAGAGCTTGGGAGCAGCGCCTGAATTCTTCAGAGGTAAATTCTACCTATAGACTTCGACATCTATCATGTTTATTCACTTTTTTGAAAAATGGATGGATGCATGATCTGCACGATTAGTTGTCTATAGTTTTCTCAGTCTTCTTTTACATTAATGTTTTTTTTTTGGTTCTTTTGTTGTTGTTCTGAGGTCATATCTATCGTTGGATATGGTTAAAAGTTATGATCCATTAGCATTACTAGTGGTTTATTATTGATAAAGCAGAGCTGGTCTGATGGGCAATTCCTAAGTGTACTCGTTATGTCAGATCAATCTTTTGTTGTCATCTCATGCCATGGTTGAGTTTCCAAATTATTTTCTTTTTTTTTTGTCATCTGTAGTATAAACAGACTGACACACCTGTATGTTAGTGCTAATGGAATCCAATGTATTTCACTGTGTCACCTTCAAATGGCAACATGTTGTTTAACAATGGGAAAAAAAATAAGTTATCATTGCCCATTGCAGTTGTAGAGTATTCTAAGTCAAATATAGGAGTGACCTAGTAACTTACTCCCCCTGGCCCCTCTCTCTGAAAGAAAGAAAAATGAACTCTTACACTCACACACACTGGAGCCCAAAACTTTTTCTGGGGTATGATTAGTGTTCTGCTATGGGCTGCTTTGAATTTCTGTATTAGAATAGCAAGCATTAGACTAGTATTAATGCCTTTACATTCTTTATACATCATTACTTTCCTTTGCAGTTCGGTTTTTGAATTTCAGATTTCTGGCTGACATCTCTTTCTCGTAGGAAAAGTTCTACTCAATTTCAACTTTTGATGAAGTTGATTACGATCTAACTTCCGGAAGCCAATTAGAACCTAAGTCTTTTTCTTGGTCATCTATTTTATTATTATTTACTCATTCTTTTTACTTTTTGGAAAGTATTCTCGTTTTCCTTAATTATTTCATTCTGTATAAAAAAACCATATCCAAATAACGTAGAGTGCATATATTTATCACCGCTATGGGTACCTTTTGATAAAACCATACCGCTATGGGTACCTTTTGATAAAACCATACTCTCCAGAAGTGAAGATAGGCTTAAAAAAAGTGAAATGGTCCTCTTATCTGGTAAAGTTTCCATCTCTTACGTGTACACCATTGTCTTTCTTCCCTATTGAAAAGGCATCTAAAATTTGATCCTCTTATTTGTAACAGGGTCACTTGGAAAGCAACGAGGGTGATCCTGAGTTGATTGTTTTCATCCCGTAAGTGTGTGCTTCATTGTTTTAGGGCCAGTTATTACCTAGGTTTACTCATTAATTCTGTAGCTTTATTTACCTTTCATCTGCCTGCGCATTGGTCCTTTTGTTTTTGAGCCCTATGTGTGCATTAATTCAATAGTTATTCATCCTTGCTGTTATTTCAAAGTTCATACATGCTAAATTCTGTTGCAAACAATTACTTTTATTGTTCATCTATTTTCTGTTTTTTATTTTAAAAAAAAATACAATTTTATATCTTAATGTTTTTACAATTAGATTATTTATATTCTAACATTTTCCTTTCTGCAATTGTGCTTTCCATCGATGTTCTGGATAACATAACATCATCTATTTGGGTTTCTATATTATATGTTTAACCCCTAAATTATTTCCATCCTTTAGTTTGGATATATCAGTCGTTTCATAGGTCAGTTATATAGGGAACACATTGTGGCTATTGGCACTAATCAAGGATTATTCTAGAATCACAGCAGAACTTGAAGGTTTAAAGGGGGTCTTTTTTCTCACCGAAGATGAAGAAACTATAAAGGTGTATTATGATTTGGGTTCCCAGGTGGACATGTCTCTCATTCATCTCTCTCACCCATGATGAGCTGAGACTCTTATTCATGAAATCCAGTTTTGTAGATCATGTTGCACTAGGATGGAAGCTGGATAAATTGCCAATGGGCTGGCTAATTTTGTGCCACCGCTCCTCCCACAAGCTCTAATTGCTTAAACTAGTGGCCGAAACTTGAAAGATGTGACAAACAAGAAGGTTCAGCATGTGGTAAAGGAGAGGATCATAAACTGCGTAAAAAAGTAAAACAAAAGAAAGATAATAAAGGTGTTGGAGCAGCCATCTTTAGGATGTCCTCCCTGCCAGACTCCAAGTTTCTGCTGTGACTGTCCCCTGCATTATAGTTGTTGTGTGCTCTGGTCTCTCTTTGTCAGTTTCCTCCATTTTTTTTTTCCATTCAAAACCCCTGGTTCTTAAAAAAGAAAAGAAAAAGGAAAAAATAGCAAAGTTTCCACCTTTTCGAAGGCTGCCTTGATTGATTAGGATTGCACTAGAGCTTTGATACATAATTTATACTTTGAATCTGCACTTGTTGCATATAGCATTGTATCAGCTTTCTGACCATATATGATACATCTGCCTACCTCATTTTAGCACTGCTGCTTGTTTAAAAAAAGTTTCCAGATTAGAGCATCCCCTTGACAAAAATGGGTTTGAGAAAACACTCAAGATTAGCATTTGGGGGATGAATTTGTTTGCTATTTTTGGATAAGATTGGCTGTTAAATTTAGTATTATTTTCGACTAATTGTTCCCCAAAGCTTTTTCCCTTGTCTCTTTATCTCCCCTTGTTCCTTCCTCCACCTACCTTCTCTGTTCTTCTTCTCTCTCCTATCTTTCTTCCTGCTACTTCTTTGTTCTGTGTCACACAGCTTGGGTCTGCCATAAATGCTTCACCTCCCTTAAAGCAGTGGATGCTTGAGGGACAATAGTGACAGCCCTTTGCTTGTCTCATGGCTCAGTCGAAGACAAATTGTTGAGTTCAGATCCTGAGCTTGATATGCATAAAATATTTGTAGTGAGTTAACCACTTGCACATTTAAATTTATCCTCGATCAGGAGTCTACTTTTGTTTTGGTTTACTTGATAAAAACATACTGAAAATATAATTGAGCATGAAACTATGCTTGAGGATGTGACTCAAACTCTTTCGACTTGCAATATTTCTGTTTTTCCTGCATAACGGCCCTTCTTTTTTTGGGATTGCTTCTCTTACTTTCGTTTGTTGGAATTGATTGTGGTAGATTTACATCAGATGTTAAGCTCAAGAGCATTTCAGTTGTCGGAGGTGCTGATGGAACCAGTCCTTCCAAGATGAGAGCGTGAGTTTAACTTTATTGACACTTTTACATTGTGATGGTATTACTAAGCAAGCTGTTCTTTAATTCTGCCGTAGGGATGGTCATTTATTGTGTTTCATGAAGTACTCTTTACTCTACTTTGACATCAGCCTCCTGCAACCCCAACCTTTTAATCACTTTGTTTGACATGAATATTATCAGTAAGCGATAGTCGTGATCTCAAGTAAAACGTTCTACTTAAATGTAGGTTCATCAATCGAGATGGTATTGACTTCTCTGATGCTCAAAGTATGCAAGCTATTCAGGTAGTGTCTCGTGTTAGTTGTCAGGATTTTATGTTTATCAATATTGACGTAATAAAACATTTGCTCATTGCCCAAGGAGTGGGATTTGGCAGAAAATTTGCAAGGCATTTTAGAATACCAGACAAGGTAAATTATCCCTGCCCTCCTGTATAGTTGGCATACCGGATGGTCTTTGTATAGATGTTCATTTTGATTAGTTTCCTCCTGTACATGGAATGATGTAAATTATTCTTTTATAGCAAGCATGAATGGATCAACAAAGTGATCAATTTGTATTGATTACTTTTGCTATTTGAAGATAATCATTCAGAAGAGTTTGGTTAGCCTGTATAATGCAAGTGATGTAAAACTTGTTCTATGTGATAATGATGGCTCGTCACTCCCAGTGCCTCTTTAGATTTCTAAAATCTTCACTGGTTAATTACCCATGTCGATGCTTGAAGAATAGCATTTGTCTATTTGTTTCATTATTTATCAATTTTGACGAACTAATGCTATGCCAACATAATCAGATATTCTAGGTTTCAAAGTGTGGGAAATCTGACACTGCATTTCCCTGACAATTTTGGTGGTGACACAACTCAAATACAATACATTGGCTTAAAAGGTGAAGCTACGCAGGTAATTTCGGTGTGGAATTTAAGATATAGATGTATGCAGTGGTGTTGCAAATTATATATTTTTTTTTCTGTGGATTAACAGCTGAAGAGGAATGCTGTCACAACAATTGTTTATGAAATTATGCCAAATCCTTCTGACCACAAGTGAGTGCTGTTTTCCTTCTGCAGAAACCTTTTTAACATTAAATTGCTCATTTGATGCATAATTTCTGCTCCAGATCTCTGAAATGGAAAAGTTTGATTTAATAATATAAGCCTGTGAGATATAAGCACTGGGAGTCTGGGAGAGTGAGGCTTAGTTGTATGGACAGTTTGGTTTTTCACATCATGCATCTTTCTCGGCTCTCAGACATAAAGTTTTGCTTTTCACCTTTGACTGATCTTGTATAACTCATCTCTTGGACATCCATGATTGTTTTTCACTCAAGGCTGTTGGTAAACCTCTACGCATAATGAAGTACCTTCTCGTTTCCATTGCATCTCTTGCTCTAGTCTGGTCGACCATATGTTTAATTCTGAACAGAGCTCAAAAAGCTACACATGCCAACAGTTAATGTGTATATATATTGCTTGACATTGTTGATGCATGCATGCATGTGTAGCTTCCTTAACTAGGCAAACTGCTATCATTTATACTTGGCAGTGTGTATAGGTCAAAGTTCATTTGTTTGCAGGATGTTTATCTTTTCTTAATTTTTAAGTCCATAACCAAATATTTGGCTTCTATGCAGGACACATGCTGAAGGTGGAGGGGGCCTTTCACACGTGGACTGAGGCGCATATTGGGTTTGTGTGGTTAATGTACATCTGGTCAATGAATATCTCACCAAATCCTCACAAGTAGAAGTAGTTGTTGCAAACTTTCCTTTCTACTAGAATTCTGAGGATACTTTCTTTTTTTCTTCCTTTCTTGGCCAGTTAAAAGAACCTATTTGTCTTGAATGAAATGAATATCTTCCCTGGAGAAAGTGCGTAGAGCGCTTTCAGTTTGTATACAGTGTTTAGGATTTGTATTTACTCACCATGTTCTGATTGGGAAAAAAAAAAAATCAGAGATTCAAGATTACAATTTTTCTGTTACGCGGTTTGTTTTCACCTCTTTGTTTTGCAGGTTAATAAGGGAGACGCAGGGGAAAGGAAATGGCGAAGGCAGCAAGTTCTGCATCTTCTGGGCTGAATTTTGGCAATTTGTATATACATTTTTCTTCTTGGTACACGAGGATAAGCAAACAGATGCAATTGTTATTAATAATAAAAAGAAGGGTTAATTACATTGAACGTTTCTAAATTATAGAGTTTGTCTTATTTTAGTCACCAATATTTTAATTGTATTATTTTAGTCCTTAAAATATTAAATGTGTTTTTATGTGGTCTCTCAAACAGACAACATTGAGATTGTTAATGATTTTTAATTATAAATTTGTCAAGTAATATTTAAATATGGGTAAAAAAATAATTTGGATAATTTTGGACCAAATTTTGATTAAGAGATATCTAAATTATTTTTTGCTCGTATTTATATATCACGTATCAATTTTGTGATAAAAAATCACTAGAAATTTAGATGTTGTCTATTTGTGGGATCGCGTAAAAACATATTTAATATTTTAGGGACTAAAATAATACAATTGATGATTAAAATGAGACAAATCACATACTTCAAGAATTTCTAGTGCAATTAACCCTAAAAAGGAATGACACATGTGATATATCCAATTTTGTAAATCTATTAACAATAACTCGGTGTTAGATGGTACACTGTAATATTAAAAATTGAATATTGGCATGCAATAATTTTAATTTATTTATTTTTAATTATATAATTTAAAATTAAAGTAAATGAAGAGAAAAATAAGAGAGAGAGAGATGTGGATTAATGGGGTTGTTTGACATTAATAAGTGGATTGGGTTGAGTTGACATTGAAATATGTTAATTCTAACAATTATTATATTTTAATAAATTGAGAATTTAACTAATTAACTGTATTATTAGATGAGATTAAATTTTTTTTGTTCATTTTATTGCTAAGTATATATAAGATTATCTCCAATGAAGAATCAAACTTTTACTCAAATTTGAGTAAAAAAAATGCGTAAAAAATTAATTTGATACGAAAATACTCTAATAGAAAAATTCAAATTTAAAAGAGGACAAATTAAAAAATAAATGAGGACAGAATATGATTTTTAAATTTTCAGAGGAGAATTAAACTATGACTACTTGTGACTGTACTACTGAGCTTAAAAGTGTTTATAAATTTTTATAAAAGAGTTTAAAATAAGTTAAAAGTCAAATAAGAGTAAAAATAAAAATTAAATGAAAGTATAAAAATAGATATAATTAATTTTAGCATAATAATTAAAAATATATTTTTTTAAAAATATGCGGACATTTATAAGTGGGATAACTTATAATTGTCGGTAAGACTAAGTTGCCATAGATTTTCTCTATTTTTTATTACACCAGAGGCGCACGCTTTTTACAACAGCTAGGGTTTCTGAACACACCCATTCATTCCACTCCACTTCACTCCTTCGCCCATCTTTAAAAAAGCAGGAAGAAGAAAGAAAGCGAAAGAAAAAATAATTCAAGTGTGTAAGTCTTTCTTTTTCATCGTTCCTCTCGAATCCGTTTGGTAGCTCAGAAAAATCCGAAAATAAATGTGAAACCTAAGTTTTCCGTTTCCTCGGTTTTTCTTAGCAACCAAACAGGATCTAAAATCCACCGATTTTTTTCTCAATTAATGTCTTTTTTTTTGTGTTGGTTGAATTTGCATATTTTTTCACGAACTTAGTGTATTTGAGTTTGATTACGTAATGCTTATGTATGTGTAAATCGAATCTTGGTACCTGTAGGACATAGTTTTGTGAGATCTGTATCAGAAAAGCTAGTATGCAGGCTTGTTGTAGTGGTGCTGCAGTTATGGGTTCTCTTCAACAGCCCGTTTGGATTAAGGAATCGACTTTCCTTTCAAATGGGTGCGGTGTTAACTACTACTTCCCACACCAGGTTAAGCTCGGTTCGGTTAAGCCATGTAGATCATCATCTCAACTTGAGGGGAGCTTGGTCACTGGGAGGCCACCCTCTTCCGTGTCTGTTCCTGTGCCTGAGATTGGAGGAGGTAACTAGTTGTGAATTTTGGAATTTTGATTTTGTAGTTTCGGTCTACGTGTGCCAACATGTTGTATTTTCTCCTCCATTTGGGTGTTAAGTGTGTTTAGTTTCGAATATTGGAGACAGAAGAACAATAGAGTGTCTTCTTACCTGGATATGTTAAGCTTTTAAATGCATGTTCTAATTAAATTGGGTAATCGTTCAAACTAAGAACAGAAGCTCGTTGTCAATGCTTCAAGTCCTTATATCCCTAGAGTCTTATAACCCTAAATGAATTTCAAACTTATAGAGTCACCCCTCCCCACAGGGGAGGGGTGGGGGGTGGGGTTTAGCCATGTGAATAGAGCCTTGGCATGGTACACTCAATGAAGAAATTGGTAAGATACATTGTCTTATGGGGTTGGAGTGTACTAGTTCCCTGATTGGAAGAGTTGTTGCCATTCATTTTTATTTGCTAACTTGGTTAATTTATTGATATGAATTTTGGAATTGTCTCAATTTGTAATACTGACTAGAATGCTGTTCCATTAGTTGTAAAAACTTGGCAAGCTTAAGGACTGTTTAATATACTTTAACTATGAAGTTCCCCAATAAACTATGTATAGTAACCACATAATTAAAAATAAGATGTATGACAATCTAGAGGAAACTGGCATAATACATATTTCTAATAACTGATGAGATAATATCTTGTCAGAACGAAAAAAAACACTTACAGATTGTGATGTTACATAATAATAAATTCATTTTGACAGGTATCAACTTACTTTACCTCCCTCAACCCCAAGTCTTGAAACTTGTTGAAAGATTTTCAATTTTATGCACCAGTGTCTGAATCAATGATCACTTAATTGAGCAAGAGTGGGAGAAAAGATCACTTCCATCCATCAATCTAGAGTCTGGAAAAGACGAAAGGGAGAGGGTTGGGAGGGAGGATTCTACATCCAAATGTAACTATGTGGTAATATGGTTCAGCACTTCAGTTACTGTTCATGAATTGATAACCTTTCTAAAGAATGGTTTTGATAGCAACTTCGAATTTGGATTTCAAAGTGATCAAATAGGGAAAAAAGGATACTTTGTATCATATATGATATAACTTGAAGAATCATGTATCTGCTTCCTTTGTGCCTTCAAAAACTAGCTTGATTATTACTTTTTCCTGCAAGGGAAGATCCTTGAAGATTTTTTGTCGATATATTCCTATATTCAATGAAATTATCTGATACTAAACCTCATGCATGGGAATTACAAATTATTGCATTTAGGAAATGGCAGCAGCTTTGTAGACTATGGCCTGAGTGATACTGATCCTGAAGTGCGTTCGATCATTGACAAAGAAAAGCAACGTCAATTTAGAAGTCTAGAGCTTATTGCCTCAGAGAATTTCACGTCACGAGCTGTGATGGAAGCAGTTGGTTCTGTCCTTACGAACAAGTATTCTGAAGGCCTACCAGGCAAAAGGTAAGCTATCTTCACACACACACAGAGATTCTAATACTGCCCTAACTTGCTATTTTCATCTGTGTGTTGGAATTGTTATCTTCTATCAGGTACTATGGTGGCAATGAGTACATTGATGAGCTAGAAATTCTTTGTCAAGAAAGGGCTTTGGCGGCATTTCACTTGGATGGTAAGCATTGGGGTGTAAATGTTCAACCATTGTCAGGTTCTCCCGCCAATTTTGAAGTGTACACAGCAATTCTTAATCCTCATGACCGCCTAATGGTAAGCTGAATGTTGGCTACCTGCAATTTGGTCATCTAAATTGATCATATTGGAAATAACAATAAATCACGTGTGGTGGAAGACCTGGACTAATATAATCAGTTAATTTTTTGACTTAGGGATTGGACTTGCCCCATGGAGGTCACTTGTCCCATGGTTTCATGACTCCTAAAAGGCGGGTATCAGGCACATCTATTTATTTTGAATCTATGCCTTATCGGCTTAATGAATCTACAGGTGCCACATTCTTCTTTGGGATATGGTATAATGCAGTTGATTTCTGGATGTTAACATGAATTGGTGGCTGATTAGGAGTTGACTTCACATTTTGTGCAGGCCTGGTTGATTATGACATGCTTGAGAAAACAGCTAATCTCTTTCGACCGAAACTTATTATTGCTGGTGCTAGTGCTTATCCTCGAGATTTTGACTACTCTCGTATGAGAAAGGTGCAATTCTTCTGTGTCTACTGGCTATGCATATTTTTCTGCTTGTCCATGATATGTATAGTTTGGGATGCTTTTTGTGTCTATTGTTTTTAGCGGCTAATTACTTCTGCCATGATGGTAGATTGCAGATGCTGTTGGTGCTTTTCTCATGATGGATATGGCTCACATAAGTGGACTTGTTGCTGCTTCTGTGGTTGCTGATCCATTTGAGTATTGTGATATTGTAACAACAACGACACACAAGGTGGGGGACCATTCTTGTGAAAACGGTTCGCTCATTATTTTAAAACCCTCAATTGCATTATATGTTGAACTTTTGGTTCCTTCATCATAAATCCCAAGGCATTTTTTATATTTAAGACACTTCAAAGGATTACTTTCTAGTTATGATGCACTGTCATAGTTTGGTGTGGGTTCTTATCCATGCTATATGATCTAAAACAATATAAATTATATTTGCCTCACTTTTATAATGTATTTTTAACTTGTGTATGTTTCCCAACTTCTTCTGGCCATGCCACAACCTGACAATTAAAAATTTCTCTTCAGTCTTTGAGAGGACCTAGAGGTGGAATGATCTTCTTCAAAAAGGATCCTGTTCTGGGCGTGGACTTAGAATCCGCCATTAACAATGCTGTTTTTCCTGGTTTGCAGGTTAGTTAGACTCTCTCTTTGCTCTATCATCATAGGTGTGGATTAGATCTAATATGTTTCCTTCTTGGACAAAAAGTTTAGCTTTTAGATTTGAAATCCTTTTTTAGGAGCAAACTAAAAGGCAATGAGCTATCTTGACAGGGTGGTCCACATAATCACACGATTGGGGGACTTGCTGTCTGCTTAAAATATGCTCAAACGCCAGAATTTAAGGTTTATCAGAACAAGGTACTGCCCTTTCTTTTCATGGCTAACACATAATGTCTGGGATTTATTTTAACAGGCAATTTTGCCTTGTAGGTGGTTGCAAATTGTCGAGCTCTTGCCAGCCGATTGATTGAGTTGGGACATAAACTGGTTTCTGGAGGAAGTGATAACCACTTGGTTCTTGTGGATCTCAGGCCATTAGTGAGTTTCATCACATATCCTTTGTTTTCATTTTCTAACTGCAATATATTGTGGCTGCTTATGTAAATGCAATGAGTATATTTCTTGAACATCTATATCTTGATTTTGAAAACTAGGAGATATGAAAAGCTTAAGCAAGTTGTCAGGAATGAGCTAGAAGAATTCTGGGGTCAGTGTCCTCATTGTTTTGGTGGGCTGATACATAATTTTTATGAACCAAAATGATGTACAATCCATTAATGAGAATGCAGCTTTGGAGTTTAGAGAGTCCAATTTCAACATCCAACAGAGGCACGCCATTGCTTCAGATTATATCTGCTGAGCTATTAACTAACATTTCCTCTATCGACACAGGGTATTGATGGTGCTCGTGTGGAGAAAATTCTTGATATGGCTTCCATTACCCTCAATAAGAACTCAGTACCTGGTCAGTTTATGCTATGTAGCTTCATCTTTTATATGTTTGTGTGCTTTTTTTCTAATTGATACCTTTGCACTCACACAGTCTTTAAGCCTGAACAATGTAGGTGATAAGAGTGCACTAGTTCCTGGTGGCATACGCATAGGGTCACCTGCTATGACTACCCGAGGTTTCGGTGAAGAGGAATTTGTTTCCACTGCAGACTTTATTCACGAAGGCGTGCAGATTGCTCTCGATGCAAAACGATCAGCTTCAGGTTCTAAGCTCCAAGATTTCATGAAGTTTTTAGCATCTTCAGATTTTCCTTTGATGGATCGGATTTTGGATCTGCAAAGGAGAGTTGAGGCTATTACAACTAAGTTCCCACTGCCTGGTCTATGAATGAAGGGAGTAGTTGGACTTGAGCAGGTAGATAACAAGGTAGAAACTTCGTCCAATCTTCAGAGTTATCAGAATGTGTTGCATTATTAAGGATCTTAATATGAACTGTTTTGGGAAGTTGGTTTATATCTATATGAAAAAGAACAAAAAGGTTACGTTGGGTTGTGTATCTTTTTTTTTTTTATATATTTCTTATTGTTAAAGAATCAACACTGTTGTGCGGTGTCACTATCTAATAGTTATTGAATTGCGTGGATATGTAACTTTTTAATTATTTGGGATTCACTTTCTTATTTGTTATATTCTTATTGTATTTTTATGTCACCGAATGGAGATGACATGGGGTCATTATTGCATTAAAAATTCATCGCATTAAAGTTTAGCCTATAAATAAAAATTTTATCGGAGGTCGTTAATCGTATCTTGTTGGGTCACTTTTGGTGTGTGTCGTGTTTGGGCCAATATTTTTGTTAATAAAAACTTGTTTAATTTTACAACAACTTGTACAAAATTATGTAAAAAATATTATAAAATACTTTTTTTTTAACGGTACTTAGTGAATGTGTTTTTTATGTTTTACATATTTTATTATTTTTAAATTTTGTATCAAATCGGATCCATATTGTGTTGTGATAATGTACAATTTTTTTTCTTGGATGACGGGGGAAATTTCTAACCTATTTTTGGCGGGATAGAGATAATTTTTTTTTTTTTCTCTTTCTCTTTATATTAACGTTGTAGCAACATAATTACATCAATCAGTTATAATTACCTCTATAATACATCAAACAGTTATTCATGTATTTTGATAAACTAAATAGTTATACCAAACAACTACACAAAATTATGACACTAATCCAAATGGTGTAACTCTTTAATTTATGTAAACAACTGAATAATAAATTAAGTTGGTAATGTAATTATTTAATATAACTGTTTAATTTATTATAACACATAAGTAACTATTCAGTGTATTATAGGATAATTATAACTAATTTGTGTAATTGATTGACACAATTATGTTGTTGTAACGTTGAGCAAGACAAATTGATTATTAGATGATAAGCAATGATTAAATGTAATATATGTGTTATTTTATATTTTATATATTTTTTTAATTTATCATATTATGTGTAGACTGTTATAAAGTACTCTCACAATAAAGATATTCAATGTTATAACGTAGTATCACATAATATTTTTTTTTTTGTAATATAGGTATCTAAGAAATATTAAGCATTACATGTGTTTATTTAATACACATGTTATCTGCGTATAACTATTCCATAATATAATCCATAAGAATTGTAAATGTATATAGATTATTTTGACTAAGTACACATTTTTTAGCAAACAAATCTGCATATTTGTTTATTTTTCTTATCTCTTATTTGATTTGCACTTTTTGGGATACAATCTATTGTTTTATTACTATTTTTATATTCTTTTTATTTATTTTGTATGTTGTTCATAAAATTGTGATATTATATAATTGATTATCAGTATACATTTGTAATTTCTTATTATTAAATTATTTTACTATTTTTTATGATCCTCAACTTGTTTATATATGCAACGTTCATCTACTATTTTATTGTGTTTTATTTTTTTCGATAATAATTTTATTGAATTTTTTTTATATTAATTACTTTTTATTGTGACTCCTTTATGAAAATAAACAATTTAACATTTTTTTTCTGTCATTTAAAATGTGTATGTGTGAGATAGACTACACTTTTTGACTTAAATTTAAATTTTATTTTGTTGACTTAATCTTTTAAATAAAAGTGTTCAAATTTTTCAATACCCGGCCAATTTCTACCCTATCCAACTTGATTGTTCGGCTTCCATAAAAATCTGCCGTCTAATATAAGGATTTATGATTTTTCGGGTAAAAATGCGAAATAGTCACAAAAAAATTGATTCTGACCCGACCCGACCAACATGTATAATTTTTTTAAAAATATATCCATGTTAATTTGTGCACAAAAATCCTAAAATTCCTAGGGCATCCTCCTCCTCCTCTGAGTCTCATAGACTCTCCCCTCTTTCTTCTTCTCAGTCGATTGATCCCTAGCGCCTCCTCCTCTTCGAGTCTCAGAGACTCTAGCCTCTATCGCCGCCTTCTCTTCGAAGCCACAAGCCACAAGCCACACGCGTCTCAGGTTCTCTCTCTCTCTCTCTCTCTCTCTCTCTCTCTCTCTCTCTCTCTGTATGACAGTCTATGTGTGCGTCTTAATTCCTTCTGTTTTTCTGAAATTGAAATCATACGATGAAAGTTGCATGTTAAGCTAAATTATAATGAGTTTTAATTTTTAATCATTGATCTATATCTCATTATTGAACTCTAAAATTTGGGGCCTTTTTAATATGTAGGGCTTAAAGCCCATGCTTTTTTGAATATACCGTTGAGCTGGCCATGTTCATGTCCTATGTCTGTATGTTGTTTAGCTGGTCCAATTCCGTGTTATGATGCGTGAAATGTTTGATTTAATGTTTTCATCTTCTTTTGGTTTTGCAGATTTCAAGAAAATGGCCAAAAAGAGTTCACATAAAAGTTCTACAACAGTGTCCGAGTGCCCTGTTGTGGAACAGGAGAAAACCTTATCGTCTACACCCACAAAAACCGGTAATGAGATTGATCAAATCTTTGCCGGGAAAAAGAGAAAGAAGCCAGAACAAGTAAAGACGAAGAAGCCGGCAGAAGATGGATCTGGAAAAGGGAGTACAATGAAGAAAAAGAAAAGTAAGAGCAAAGGTCCCATAGAAAGCAATGGGTTTTTGGACCCGGTAGCTCGGCCAAGGAAGAAAACTGGGGATGGGCTGGTTATTTATACAGAAGAGGAGTTGGGGATTGGGAAGGCAGATGGTGGAGGTACACCTCTTTGTCCTTTTGATTGTGAATGTTGTTTTTGATCGTGCAAACTCGACCTTATTTATAGGACATTGTTTCCTTGTGATGATGTTTTGGGAGTCTTAGACAAATTGCTAGTTTTGTATTAACTTGGGGGGTGTGCTTTTCCTTTTCCAAATGTACACTAGAACCAGAGGATGAGAAATTTAATCCAATGTTATGAATTATTGACCTGAAGAATGAATTCATCTGGACATGGCATTTTTGATTCTATTTAGTGAATATCCTTTTGATTTCTGAAACACTAGTTGTGTAGCAGTTTCAGTGTCTCTGTTGATTTTATGTATTTATTTTTTGATAGGACTCTGTTGAGTTTTATATTTGGATGAATTAATTTGGGTATTTCTTCTCAAATAGTCAAATTATGATGAAGTTCATTGTTTCTTTCACTTGGTGATGGGATGATTTCATAAATTGGTGACGACACTTCTAAAACAAGATTGTTCTTGTATGTTATGTGATGTCTTAACATGGTTGGTCAAAGCCTTCATTCATGCAAATTACTATGTTGATCTTGGGATGTAATTCTGACTACCAACACATGACACTATTAGAAATCTACTTTGTGGATTAGGATCCTTATGAAAATGGTTTGCAGATGTTCCTTTTATGAGGATTCCTTTCTTTAGAATTCATGTAGATCCTTCAAAAAAGGCACTATTTGGTGCCATGCCATGAAACATGGCGAGTAGGTTTACCAGATTCCTCTCCAAAGTCCACAGAGATGAATCCTTCTTGAGGCTCTTAGAAACTAGTAAATTCCGGGGATGGACCATTTTCACCCTCATGTTGTGAAATCAAACACTACTAGGCTAGGTAATTTGGGTTTGTGTTTTTGTACCTTCCATGAGGCTTTGTTCCTATTATTGAATTGTCTTCAGCTTTGGCTGATTGTTATATGAATCAGTACCCCATGACAAATATTTAAGCTTTGTTCTGAGCGTACTTGACTTACAACAGCATTTCATAGTGGTAGTGCCTATTTTACATCAGAAGGAAGGTGGCATTTTTTTATTTAGGGGGTTTGCATGTTTGTGTGTTCAAAGGGGTAAAAAAAAATGAACACCCATCTCAGTAGACAAACAACATCGACCAGTGTGGAACAGAGTAATACAACTAGCCACATTAAAACTGGGGATGCAATTGACAAGTCAAGGATAACAATTACTGATCTGCTTTTTCAAGTTTTCCTATGGACTTCTGACATTCAACACATCTTATTAGTCTAGCCAAGATGTTTAGAAGCATGTTTTTTACATGTATTGATATGCCCATTTCCTGTTCTCTTCTCAAATATTTGCAATATGTTTTGTCTCACATCAAAGAGGCATTTATGGTCATAAGAGCTGGGGATAGCTAAAATTAGATAAGGTTAGATTCATCTTCTTTCAGAATGTAGTTTGGTTGAAGTCAGTGACATCTCAAATAAGCTTGATTGTTATGTGCAATGATTCGTTATTAGAAGTATGCATGGAGGGTGGCATGTTTGTCTGTCAACAAGCATCACACTGTGAATATCTTTAGCTTTGACATGGTTGCTATAGTTAGTGCAGCATTGTTTTTTCTTTCCTATGCATAGAAGTGGGTGACCAAAAAACCAAGAAAGGTAGACTTTGATTTTATCCTCTTTAAATAAAAGGTTATGTAGGGAAAGAGATCGAAAAATGCATGCGATAGGGGTTATGAAGGGAACAGGTAGTTAAATGATAAAAAAAAAAGAAAAGGAAGAACATGTCAAAGGCCTTGGTTTCTAGGGGTCTTAAGGAGCATTATCATGCTTACTTTACCAATTATGAAATTCAACATATAGCCATTGGTCTAGTTCATGTAATACTGGTTTCTGGGTCTTAAGGAGCATAGAACGTGATGATGCACAAAATAGGTTAAGCACAATCAAATTAGACGAGTGTGTGATGCAAGACAATTAATGGAGTAATTAATAATAAGCGACAAAAATTGGGTGGTTGGGTTTAGGTGACCTAACCATTGAAGACAACAATTGTGGCTGAAGAACTTTATTAATGAGAGAATAAAGTAGTAGGTGATGGAGAGAGAGAGAGAGAGAGAGAGAGAGAGGTGTGTTGTGTGAGAGATATGCCCCTATGTGTAAGAGGATTTACAATTTATAGGCACAAAGCTCTAGTTGAGGCGGTGACGTGAAGATCAGACTACTAGTCTTTTGAGGAGGATAGTTACAATCGGGAATAGGCATTATCTTGGAGTTATGACTATTCCGATAATTGCTTTCCACGTGCGTTGACCTTCTTAGGTCTCTTGAATCTTGGACTGGACTGAGACCATGATCTAAATCTGGATTTTTTGATGATTTGGGCTTAACCAATGTTCTAGGCCTGGGCTCAGTAGAATTTGGGCTCGTCACTTGTCCCCATATCCCTCCTGCTGTTATGTGTTGCCGGGTTGAGAAGGATGAGCCGACGTGCTATGATTCTTCTAGAGAGATCGTTTTCTATGAGGATATCGTGAAGGCAGGATTGAGGTTTTCTATGCCCCGGACCCATTTGCTAGATTATGAGTCACTTGTCGCTCGCTCCGAGGAGGTTGACTCCAAATGGTTGAAGGGTATTACTGACTTTCTTTTCATTATGGAGACTGGTTCATGGGGACGGTGTTTCTCTCCCTTTCGAGGAGTTCTTGGCATCGTATGTCCTTCTGGAGAAATCTTACTCTCCATCAGGGATGGTATGACTTTGCTCCGAGGTCAGACAAGTTGATCACTGGATTACCTTCGAATTGCCATAGTTGGAAGTCTAGGATTTTCTTCGTAGGAGGTGAATGGGCTACTGAGGAGGACCGTGACCTAGTGCCCTCGAGGTGGGATACTCTTTCAAAGACTTGCTTTTATGCTTGAATGTCATATCCATCTCGTACTTATCGCATGTTTGGTTCATTTGCAGCTTCACCCATATTATCTGCGGAACAAGAAAGTAGTAGACTCCAGGCTGTGAGGGATCACTCTACCAAGCAATTTGTAGTCCTTATGTTTACGTCGGGTGGCTCCAAAGCCTCCCCTAGACAAAAGAGGAAAGGTATTTGATCATTTTCATAAATTTGATGACGTTTGTAAATTCTTCTTTTTATGCCAATTCCTTGTTGGACTTAGTTGAATCTGGACTTGTCAGAACAGATTCAGATGTTTTTTTTTTGTTGGAGGGATGAAGATCCAACATAAATTTTGGGTTCTTTTTATATGTCACCTGCTCATAGCTGATTGAAGTTCTTCCACTGCTAGTAATAAGGGTGTTCACCTTACCTACTTACGGGTAAGAATTATTAAATTCTATTTTCCTATTAAATATTCGATCAAGTATATTATTTTTACTCGAATTTCATCTGAAACAATCGACTAGAAAGTCAGGTAAACACAATATTTTTTAGTTATTAATTTTTAAATTATTTTAACAATTCAATTAAATGACCTGCACCAATTAGCTAAGAAAATAAAGTTAAAAATGTTAAAAATTTAACACACACATACACACACACATATATCCCACACATTTTTATTTCAAAACCATCTCATCACCCATTCTATCACATGTTTAATCATTTAATATTTAATTAATTTGTAGTTTAACACAATTTTGTTTTATACATTGTCCATACATGATAGTGTACACGTGTTGAAAAAATTTTGATGGGTTATATATTTTGAAAAAAATTTGATGCTACTTTTTAAAAAATAAATAGATAAAAATTTATTTTAAATGATGTATTCAAATAAACGAAGAAATAAAAAATTATTTATAATATAATGGGATCAATTTTTTAAATGTTCAAATATTTTATTGCATCATGTCTTTAGGCACCGGTTATAACTATAACTATATAACAAAACATCATATATTCAATCATTTAATATTTGAATAATTTTTAGTTTAATATAATTTTTATTTTAAACGTTATCTAGATTTTATATACAATAGTATACATATTTTATCAAAAATTTTATCAAATTACGTATTTTGAGAAAATTTAAATAATGTAATCAAAGAAATGAAAAATAGAAAAATTATTACTGAATATAATGAGATCAATTTTTTAGATACTCGAATTTTATGTTCTATCGTGTCTTCAGACACGGGTTATGACTAATATATATATATGAACACTTTTAATGTTCTTTTATGAATATTTTACATTCTTACCTGATTTTTGTGAAATATCAAAAAAAAATTTGTTGACCTATTTGATTTTTTGCGATAGTTGATTTGTAGAATTGGGTAGGATCGAAATATTCGGATAATAAAAAATTTGAAGGCTCTTAATTAGCAACAGTTGTGATTAGGAAAAGAAGAAGAAACCTCACCACCATGTTCTTTAAACCTGAGGATCTGCGGTGGTCCAATGACTCTGCAGCCTGCTGTTAGACCGTCGAGTCACAGATTCGAATCTCACTAACCCCCGCTTTTATAGAAGTTTTTTTTTTTTAGGTATTCTTTAAACCTCAAAAACATAGGTTGAGTTTTGACCCTCTTTGAAGTTAAACCTTCAAATCAAGTTTCGAGCAGCAGCAGCAGCTACAAATCAATCAAACAAAAATCTTAGTATGGATCAATTCAATGTAACACCAATTTTTTTTATGGGTGCTGTAGTGATGTCACCAATCTGAAGCCCGTAATCTTTAAATTTATAAAATAAAATATGATAAATTTCAATAAATTCATCCAACGATCTCAAATAATTCGTTCAACTAACTACTAATAATAATTCATTATTATTATATATGAATTTTAATATACTTAGCATCGATAATCTACTTTTTAAAAAAAAAAGTAATGGAACAGTTATTCTCCATAATTATAAAAAAACATAATCACAACACTGTTTTTACATTTTAGTAGCCCTTTTTTTTTTTTTTTTTTGTTGAAGAGCTTTTTCACCCATGAGTCAGAAGTAAGGGTGTTAACATATGATATGACTCGTTAATAGGACACGAAATTTAGAGGGTTCGGATTTTTATTAAACTATCCATTTTGTAAGTAAGTGAATTCAATATGATACGATTAATAAATAAATTGGGTATAAGTGAAATTATTTAAAAAAAATATACGATATGACTCTTTTATATATTGGTTATACACGATATAAATTTGATATGATATGACTCGTCAAACATGAATTAATAAATAAATTAAATATAAATAAAATATTTTTTTAACACAAATTCACGTTGAAAATGGACACGAATCCACTTTAAGAGTTTTAATGAGAAGTTAAATTTATTCATAAATGAGCTTGGTCAAACTCAGCCATCTATGACCCTTGACTTTTGGTATGGATTTCAATTCCTCTCATTAATTTTAATGTTTTAATCTTAATATTAAACTTCTTAAAATTGTAATAGTTAATCTTTGTTAATTCCCCACTAACACAAACAACAAAGCTTAAGACATTTGTGTTTTATTTTTCAAATTTAGTTTATATTTAATTTTTGATTTGTTTTAATGATAGAAGAAGCAAAGGGGAAGAGTTCATTAATTCGATTCTAAGAGTTTACGATTTAACCCGAAATAAAACAAAAATAAGGGGCCAAACTGATATTAATTGCAATTAATATCAGCATAAGAATCACACCCCCCCCCCCCCACCCTCCTCCCTTTTTCCAGCATCTTCGTGGAGAGATCAACGTTTGTTGGCTTACTGTACACGCCGCCATTGACGACCACCTAACTACTCTCTCTCTCTCTCTCCATTTCTATAACTACTTTCTACTCTCTCTCTCTCTCTCTCCAACCCTGAAAATTTTAAAATCTCGCAACCTCGATTGATCTGTGAGACAATTAGAGATTGACGGCTTTATACATACATATATAGAGGTACAGGAGTTTTGTTTTTTGGATCGGTATTGGTACAGACCTTTCGGAATTTGGGGCCATGGATGCAGCAACGACCTCTCGTTTGCTTCCTCTGATGAAGCTTTACGGTTATGATCGCAGCTGTTTGAATCATAATTCTTCGATGTAAGATTGCCTATCAACTATTTCAATTCAGGGGTAAACATATGTTGGTATAGATTGTGTATATACATAAAATTCGCGGTATAATTCATCAAATCTATATCTGGATTCGGTGAGAAACAATATGCTTGTAGGTTAATTTCATGGCAATTTGCCTCAACAAAAAGGTTTTTTTTTCATTTCATTGGTTCAATTTGTCTTGCTAAGTTAATTTCTCGTCGCCAAACTCAAATTTTGTGATCCTGTTTTTCTTTTTCACCCTCATATGCAAGAAAAAGATCAAATATTTTCGGTATTTGGTGTTAATACAATGCTTATTCATCACTATATTGTTATTTAGCTAGTTCTTCTGAAACCTTCTTTCAGGAAGTAACGAAACTGGTATGCCTTAAAAGGAGGCAAAATTATTATTTGTGGATCTGAAATGAGCTAGTTTGCATGAGCTGTTTTGTGCTTTGATCCTCTGGAAATAAATGTATGTCTTCACAGTTGGTACCCCGTATCAGCGTGGCTGCACACACACACACACATACATATATATATATATATATACATATATATATATATATATATATACATATATATATATATATATATACATATATATATATATATATATATTTGTTAGATTGAAAGTTTTAATGACAAGTCGTGAGAAAAGGAGATTTTTGTTCCCTCATTCCCTGTTCTTCAATGATATTTGTGCATTACATGTCTACAATCAATGACTGTTCTTGTTGTTCCACATTGGCACCCTTTGGCGAGTTGTTTTTACCTGTCAACGAGAGCTCATATTCGGTGCTTCCCCAAACCCTGAGCCCCAATCCCAACCCCACCCTGCCCTGGTGGCTGGAAAAAAAATGGCATTGGGAACCAATATGTGTGATAGTTCTTTTGCATCCTTTCATGATGTTTTTTGGTACACAACACAGTATATGATACCTTCGCATGAAACATAAAGAAATACGAAAACTAAATCTAGGTAATACTTCTTAGTATACCAGATAATACGCTTTGTTTTTGAATTAAGCTTCTAGCTAAATATTTTTACTGGCAGGTTATGCCCTCGGACTAGGCATGCCATGCCTATCTGCTGCCATTCATTGGACGGACAACAATCTCTTGATATCTTTTCACGCAAAGGATTTGTTTCGTCTTTTGACTCAAACGATAAAAAAAACAGCATCCATGGAGGATTATCTCTTCATGTTCCAGTTCAGAGGAGAAATCCAGTTGGGAAAATGTTTTGTTCTGTGGGAGTGTGCCCTTACCCTGGAAATGCTATTGAATCTCCTTCACACACTTCAGAGGAAAAGATTGGAGTGCTGCTTTTGAATCTTGGAGGACCAGAAACACTTCATGATGTTCAGCCATTTTTGTTCAATCTATTTGCTGATCCGGTATGTTAGTTAAGCACTCTTGCCCTTCAGCTATGTATACAGATAATTAGGATTGTTCTATGGTCATATTTATAGATTTAATGTCTTTTGAAGCAGGACATCATACGTCTCCCCAGGTTGTTCCAGTTCCTCCAGCAACCATTGGCACAACTCATATCTGTACTCCGGGCTCCAAAAAGTAAAGAAGGGTATGCTTCCATTGGAGGTGGTTCACCTTTGCGAAAAATAACAGATGAACAGGTAAGCATTGCCCACCTAAGAAATTCTTGGTTTTGTTCATGTTTGGATGTTTTCCCCCACATTGCATTTGTTGGTCTTGTTCTTAGCCTGTCTTTTTTAGGCTTACTGCTGTTCTTCACATTTCACTTTGTTGGCTACCATGTTAACAACTTTTGAGCTGTTTGTTGCAGGCTAGTGCACTTAAAATGGCACTGGAAGCCAAGGACGTCCCTGCAAATGTCTATGTTGCAATGCGGTACTGGCACCCGTTTACTGAGGAAGCTGTTAAGCAGGTTTTTTTTTTTGGAATTCGTGTTAAGCTGCAATGTAATTATGATTTCCCAGTATTTGGTGTTGGTGGCTGTGTCTGTGTCTGTTGTCTTAAGCTGCATTATGATTGATGTGTGCGTCCTTTTAGACTTATATGAAATAGAATTTCAATGAAACAAATTCAATGACACTATGACAGTAGTGCTGAACTAATGAAAAAGCTGTAAACCCATTTTTCCCAAGGTTAAGATTAGGAAGATTCCAAAGTAGTAGTATATACAGAAGGTATGTCGACCCATTCTGTTGCACCATAGAGCTGTATGTTTTTGCTAGCTGTGTTTCCAAAAGAACCATAATCACTTCGCTACTGGTTTCTTGGTCAGCCTACTTAAATGGGGAATATCTGTTACTATGTGCCTCTTTGCATTTGTAAACTGAACACCAGTTTATTTCTGAATCTATCTGACACAGTATTCATTGTCTTCTGAGGTTTCCCATGAGGAATTCAAATTTTTTTTTCCCTGATTGCCAGCTTAGTTGATACTTGATAGGTGTTTTTATCCCAGATTTTGTCAGTACTGACAAAAACATTTCTCCGTCCTCTATTTACATTGTTCAGGTCAAAAGGCTTGAAATTTATTCATTTTCTCTGACAGATTAAGAGGGATAAGGTTACAAGACTTGTAGTGCTGCCTCTATATCCTCAATATTCTATCTCTACGACTGGATCAAGCATCCGCGTTCTCCAAAGCATCTTCAGGTAAGATTTTGTTTTTAGTTTGTAAACTCCACTTCCTCAGCATGTTGTAGATTTTTTTTGTTCTTTTTGTAGAATGCATATTTTTCCGGTTAACATACTGATTAACGTATCTAAATCTGAGCTGTGTTTTAGGGAAGATGCATACTTGTCAAGGCTACCAGTTTCCATTATACAGTCCTGGTATCAACGAGAAGGTTATATCCAGTCTATGGCTGACTTGATTGAGGAGGAGTTACAGATGTTCTCTAAGCCTCAGGAGGTGGGTTTCTTTCCTCTCATTGACTTAAATGACACAGTTTGGACGCATTACTGATCTTGATAATTATGGCTCATAATTTATCAATTTAGATTTGCTGCTGCTATAAATGTGTTGCTTAGTTCTTCTGCGGTATTGTAGGCCATGATATTCTTCAGTGCTCATGGAGTACCAGTCAGTTATGTTGAGGATGCGGGTGACCCATACAAAGCTCAGATGGAGGAATGCATTCATTTAATAATGCAAGAACTGAAAGCAAGAGGAATTAACAACAATCATACTCTGGCTTATCAGGTTGGGTGTAAAATCTAAGTTTTCAAGTTTGAGTTTCAAAGCATAGTTATTGGTATTATCATGGAGTGATCTATCCACTCCACTTTACTAGCAGTTCCCTCCCAACACCTTCTCCACCCATTTTACATGAAAGAAGGAAAGAAATCTGAGTAGGACCTAGGATGGGGGCTGTTTTATTGACCATTGATTATAATCTGATGTTTCCCATTTTCTTTCAGAGCCGGGTGGGGCCTGTGCAATGGTTGAAGCCCTACACTGATGAAGTTCTTGTTGAGCTTGGCCAAAAAGGTGTGAAGAGTCTTCTGGCAGTTCCTGTGAGGTATGTTATTGAAAGTCATATAGCATTTGTGGTTTTGCTCCGAGTCTCACAGGAAGTCCTAAAATACACATTATGACCTTTAGATCCACTTGGTGCACAATTATTAGGCTTAAATCTGTTGTGAAAACGACATATTCTTGAACATTAGATGATTTTGTTGTTTCATCTTTCAGAATTGAATAATCTTATTTTATTGCTTTGAACTGTAAGAGGTTTATGCTTTGTCACAAGTTTTGTACAGTATGTGCTTGGCCTTGGCCGGGCTCAGGTGTCTACATAACCTAAATGGGCTCATAAGCCTGGCTGACTCACCAGCATGTGGAACTACAACTATGACAACCCCTACTAAATTACGAAAACTAGTAGTTGTAATCACAGCCATGAACTACTCTTTTTCTCCCGAATGATAACTCAATTTTTAGAGGCATCACATATCTCATATTCATGTCTTCACAGGTATTGGCTATTTTGGAAAGTTTTCTGGTTTTCAATAGTGATAGTGATGTCATTCTTGAACTGTGTGGCTTTTTTACCCTTGTTTCTTATTTATTCAATTTTATGGTTGACATTTTGTTATTACATTAATTGTTACTTGCTGATTTTTTTATTTTTTTTTTGTTTTAACCTTTGAAATTCTAGCTTTGTGAGTGAGCACATAGAGACTCTTGAAGAGATAGATATGGAGTACAAGCACTTGGCTCTCGAATCTGGCATTGCAAACTGGGGCCGTGTTCCTGCTTTAAATTGCACCTCTTCATTTATCACTGATCTGGCAAATGCAGTCATTGAAGCCCTACCTTCAGCAACGGCAATGTCAACCTCAAATACATCTGAAGACGACGACCATGACCCTTTTGGGTATGCCATTAAATTATTTTTTGGTTCAATCTTAGCATTTGTTTTGCTCTTATCACCAAAAATGATATTGGCATTCAGAAATCACATATTTTAAGATAGAAGAAAGAATTGCTGTCAATACACACGGTGCAGTTAGAGAGAATGAGAGATGAAGTAATGTGATGGCAGAGTGGTTTGAAATTACTCGAGGCTTTTCCAAAATATCTTTCGGTAGGATATAGCCATATAGGACGTTTTTGAGGTGTTCCCAAAATAACAAGGAATAGTTGCTTTGATCTATTGTGTACTTGACAGCATTCGAATGTCAAATTGGTTCTGCCATAAGAAAATATATTTGAGCAAAATTTTCCGCCATATCTGTTGGGTTTGTTTTGGTTTGATTTGTAACATATACTTCAAATTGTGTCATCTACACCAATTTTATGGTTTCTAGTGCATCAGAGTTGAACAGGGTGGGAGGGTGATGGATGGTATTGTGTTCCAACTGAAAACCTCTGTTACAGCTTGCACAAAGAGTGCATAGTCATTATTTTCATCTTTGCACAGAGCAAGCAATGGTTGACACTGACCAAATGCTCATCTGTCCCTACCATACATCATGAGACCTGATCTGATGATTAATTAATCTTTTTAAAAGGGAATACGATTATCTATCACTTATCTCTTTCGGGCCTTGTAACTTTGTGCACTGATCACCGGCCTTTTGCCTTTCCAAGAGCTAAAAATGGTATGCAATGCTAATATAATAATGTTGTGAAACCACCATAGGTGTTAATAATGTCACTGATTGAATAGAAAATTCATTGACCGGATGAATCTCAATTGTGTGTTGCACTTCAAAACAACATCATGATAAATTGATCCGGGAGGTCGGCCTCGGGATAAGAATTTTCCGCATCTTTGTTTTTTTTTAGTTCATCGGTTAAAAGTGTTTGAATCAGTTTACGCACACCTAAATTAAATCCCACCTCGATCTAGTCAAAGACTTGTCATTCGCGTCGGGGCTAGGATATTCATGAGAAATAAATCTCTAATTGCCTAATCCCAAGGAATTACCAAAATTCAAACTCAAGACGTCTAAATTTACAATTCTATCTTATTATCACTTGAACTACCTTAAACTTATATCCTCTGATTATACATGGGAATTTCAGTCGATACTCATTGTTGACCCATTGCTCCAGCCATTGGGTCAAATTACAATGAAATTCCTAATCTTTGGGTTTATCCTACAATCACCCCTCCCTATTTCATAAATGACAACGAGATCACATCATCAACAAAATTTATTGAGAAATAATCACCAAATTTAAGCGTAACTTTAACTGATAAATTTAGAAATGTTCCTTAACACCTGGTTAATATCAAGAGATGATTACTGTAGTATTAGTCCTGCTGGATTCTGTCAACATAAACCAATGATTAGGTTAAATTAGTAGGGATCCACTGGCCTTAATTTACTGTTGGTTTATAAATAAAACATGAGAAATTTATCAGCTTAATGAGAGAGACGAGCAAAACATGGTAGTGGAATAGCTGAATCGCATGCCTGCACAAATATCCATCCTCGCAAGCAAGGATGGGGATTCTTACTCCCCGTCATCTCTTCTATGAATGAGGAAGTCGATCTTGAAGCATATTTTAGAACCAATTACTTGCTTTAGTGAAATTGTCTGCATTAGGAGGTGCTTCCTTCTTTCATGGGGCTTCCTAGTGTGACATGCCTTCCTCGTCTTTCCCATTATGAAATCCATATTGTCTTCTTAAAGAGTAATCTCTCATAACCTTCTTCTGATATCGTTTTAATGACACCTTAAGGCAATAAGCAAGCAATGGAGGGAAACTACATAAAGGATACCTGCTGGCTAGAAAAGGGAACTCTCAAGCGAAGGAGAAGCAGGCACATCTTACTAGAAAATGAGTTCTTTTCGGAAGAAAAAACTACATACGCCGTCAGTGGGAAATCTCATTGCTATGACTCTTGATTGCCTACCAATCTGAGTCTCAGTAAATAAGAGTCCCATTAATCCCGAAACAAAAATCGAAGGAACCACGGTAACTGTACAAAGGGAAACAAACACATGGATCAAGTACCAGTGTTTGGTTGTCTGAATTCTAATGCCATACAAGAGAGCATTTGATAACACAATCTTCCACTGAAGCGGTTCCACCTATATTCTCTCTACAGAAACAGTAATCAAACAAATAATCAAAGTTTTCAGCCCCAGGAAACAACCATATAGAGTGAAATACGAGGGACCTTTATCTAAGTATATGGATGTGCCCCCTGATGTTGATCCTGAAGCCATCACACGAAAATTCTACAGACTCCTCTACCTCAATTCACTCATCAAGAGGATCTCCGCTTCTGGGGTCATGTACGTTCTCTTCCTTTGATTTCTATAAACTGCTTCAGAATGAAAGTTCCCTGTTTATTGCTGAAGGGAAGTGGGATTGGATTTGAAAACTGATAGTTCCATAGCAATTAAAACTTTTTCTATGGATTGTTAAATATGATAAAACTCCATCCAATTACCTCAGAATTGTTAGACACTTGACTAATAGTCCCATTTGCATTAGATGTAACTCACATACAGAGACTACATCACATATCCTGAGAAATTGTAGTACGACCCAGATCATGTGGTCCTATTTTCTTACCCCTCAAGACAGACAAGTTGACTCTAATATAGAGTTTAAAGACCGGTTTGATAAATACTGCATCTCCTATGGCCATTCCTACTGGAATGGACTGCCTTGGCCCCAACTGTTCAGGGCTATCATTTGGAGTATTTGGAAAGATAGAAATAGGGAGTGCATTGGTAACACCACACCTCTGAAGCCTTTGGGAAACTGTTAAGAGTAGAAGGGTAGCAAATCTCTCAAAACCATTAAGTAGTGTTTTCGTCATGCACAGTGGTACAAAGTCAATACAGATGAGAGCTTTAAAGGGGGGCCAAGTCCAACTGGAATAGAAGGAATTATCAGGAATGACAGAGGAGTTTGGGTCCTAGGGTTTTTTCGAAGGCTAATCAACACAACCAGTATCAAAGCAGAACTATAGGCAGCAGTCGAAGGTCTCAAGCTGAGTCTGCAACCGGGTGGCAACTGCATTTTAGAGACTGATTCGTTGGAATTCTTCAACCTCCTAGAAAGAAAACAGTCAGCTGCTAGTCCTAGCTGGAAAACAATCAGCAACTCCTCCTTTCAAAGTCCTTGTCGACAACTACCTTTTCATCATCATGACTCAAAATATAGTGTCGTCTCACCCTAAGAGAAGGAAACAGCTGTGCTGACCACCTTGCCAATATTGTTGTGATCTAATTTGATGAGCTGGTGAATCTTGTGTCGCCACCTCATTGTATTTTGCACTGTTTATTAGCGGATATGTCTGGTATTAGTTTTATTGGGGATCCCAATTAGCTGAGGATCCCTCCAAAGCACCCAAAAATAAAAAATAAAAAATGAGCATAATGTGTTGTCCTATCTGGAATGAGCTAAACAACCACAGTTCATGACAATAAGCATGTTTTTCACCCAAATTTTACCTGACTAGAAGAACAAAGCTGTTTACTTTTGGAAAAACGCAACCTTGGCTGTTTCTGTGACTTCAATGTGTGACACTTAGAGCGCAATCTAAAACATAATGATGGCTTAATAACGATAGTAACACAACAATTATATGGTGCACATATACGGGCTTCGGGGAAAAAGGAAAGATAAGGGGTGAAGGAAAACAAAATTAAAGTTTATTGAAGCAAATAAACTTGCTCCAGACTCATTTGTAACGAGTTTCTCACCGAAATACGTTCAGTAGGAATCAAGTGATCATTGACTGAAAAACTAGGAAAAAAGTCTCATGTAGACTTCTATCAGTTATGAAAAAAGCATGGTGCAGCGCTTAGACGTGGTAGCCAGTAATTTTAAACCCTCGTCCTACAATCTCTCCAACACAATACCAGGCATAACATTCTAGTCCAAAAAGGGCAGCAATGCCAACATCCTCAGTCTTCAGCTCCCGCCTGTTCCTCCATAAGTGCTTGACATAATCAAGTTCCTTCAAGAATGATTCATAACGACCAGGAATACTGTTTCAAGTAATCACATGAGTTAATTAATACAAGATCAAGTATGGATAACAATGCATAGGGTATTTGTATAACTACAGTAGTACTTTCCTTGTCTTTCTCAAATCGTGAACAGATATTAGCCTGATTCTGAAGGCCACTACAGTCGTTCATTCCATGTAAGACTAATATCGTAGGATGCAACATTTCGCAATTTGTCAGGGTTAAAAATTTCATGGCAAGTGATATGCTGTGTTCCTGTTCCGCATACCACAACGTGTTGCCACCAGTTCACAATGGTTCAGCAGAACAGCAATCATCACTCAACATTCACATGTCAAGCCTCCGCTTCTCCCCAGTGAACTTTTTCTCTCGTAATTGTCAAGGAATTAGGACAGTATATGGTTCTTATATTCATTAGGCTACAATCCCAAAGCCAACTCTTTCCTCATGACATGGCAGTCCCTCCGTTATAACCAATGATATAATATATCGAAGTTCTGCTCTTAATGGTTTTTAAATCCAAGCAGAAGGAATTTTAACTAACACAGAAAATTGACCAGCAGCAGCTGCCCCAAATAGGTCCCCAATTATATGGAAAAAATTACTTGAAAGACAAAATTCACTCTTCCTGACAACCCATATATTAGGCTAAAGAACTGAAGGAATCCCCTTCAGTTGGATAAAGATCAAAAACAGATGAATTGTGTAAAAATAAGAATTTTCAAGATCTTCCCACAACATAATGGGTGCCCACGCCAACCGACCAGACTCAACCATGCACGAAGCATATCATAAGCCAATATGTACTTCACTTCTTCATCCACATATTTGCTAGAATGAGTAAAGTGAGGGTAACCCGAAAGATAGTTCTGCTTGAAATGACCATCACAAAGTCAAAACTGCCATGCTGGACAATGCAAATGACGAACTGGCAGTGAGACTTGGGTGAATCTTCTACTATTTTATTCATATAAAGTTGCAGGACGACGGAGGTGCAAGTTAGGTCGGCCCAAGTCAACCTATATCCAAAATGTAGAACATAGCCAAATTGGAACCTTAAAGTAATGAAGCATAGGCCCACAATTAACGGGCCCCAAAAATAATTACACAACTTAAAGATCTAATGTAAAGTACATTATTTTATTCAACACAACTTAATTTGACTAAGCCTTATGAATCATATTCAGCATTGTGCTATATCGAGAGTCATATTTTTTGTCAAACTGTAAGCTATCATATCTTTTACTATCTCATAGAGAATGGATAATCAAAAGGAAAAAGTGAGGCCTCCTGCGAGGATTACTTGAGCTCTGCTAAAACCTCCCTTCCTGCTAGAAATCTAAGATTGAGCTCTGGCAAGCCCAAGCTTGGTGCAACTTAGCCCACATAGATTATAACCTGAATGGGTACAAATCTATTCTAGCAACCAAATAAGGTAATCATTAAGGAAATGCACCCCTATTTATACTAAACATAGCAAGGGTTGAATGTGCATCACTGACCGTTCCCTATCTGTTGTGCCAGGTTCAAGGCTTCTAAGCTTATGCATATTGTAAGCCATAATATCATTCTAAGGTACTAATAAAATTTCTCTTAATTTGCCCCTATTATTGCTCCCACTACTTACTATATCTCTTTGTTATTGATTTGTTGTCAAGGCATTGTTGGTGGACATGCTTGAAAGTGCAACATTGGAGAGCCACTTAGTGCCACCGACTGCCACCCCATAAAGGTATCAAACTTCCCAATGCCATGAACTTCTGAGCATTAATGAAATAACCTTAACAATTAATTAGAACAAGAAGTAAATGTGTCACAATTTAGATAACCACAACATAGCCACAAAAATGGGAGTAAGAATAGGATTAAGTGGGGAACCTGGCAAGACGAGTGTAAAACAGCTGGTTTGCCAAAAGCTGGCATTTCTCTACAGTTGGTGGTTCCTGAATGGATTGCTTGTTCTGCTCCAATAGCTGCTTGTAGTAGGAAGATCCGTTCTTGGCTACAACCTTTGAGGCTTCAGCAGCCTTTGCTCGAACCAGATTCAGGTTTGAAGCCATAAATTCCAGAACCTGCAGATCACCTCAGAAAATGGACAATTTGAACACAATGAAATCACAATATGTCTTCAATTATATACACACCATTAGAAAACCTCTCTTTCCCTTCCTTTTTTCCTCTCTAAATAAATATAAATAGATATATAAGGTTATTTGAAAGGACAATCCCATACATCAATATATGCTGGTGCATTAAATACAACAATTCAGAATCACAGTACAACAAAACATTTGGAAAGCACAATACACTTCCTTAGCTAAACCCTTCAATCCCAACTCAACTCAACATATCCTTCATCCCAATTATTTGGGGCTGGCTAAACCTTTAACCATTGATCGTAAATTTAGAAAATTAAAAATAGAACCATAAGAACATCATAGGGGTCGCTCCATTATGAGTTTTAACCAAGTAGTTTAACATAAATTGCAAAACAATGATTTTTTCTTCATTGAAATTGGAAGAAACTATTTCATAATTTGAAGTTGGTTTTCCTCTGATCCTAATCCCAATGCAGATTTAAAACTGCCAAACATATTCAAAATGCAATGAAAATGCAACAATATTACCAAGTTAATGATAGACCAACACAACATAAGGATCCCAGGGCCGATGATGGCAACTCTAAGGATCAAAGCTCCATAATTACACATAATACTCGAAACCCTAAAATATACAGTTTGTAAATCACAGAGAAATTCATATCAAATGAAAATACGCTAACAGATACTAGTTTAAATCATGAGTGTGGTAATCCGTTAATTCAATCCGAAATATCAAAGACCTCAACCACATGAAACATAATAATATGGCCAAACATAAACCCTAATTCATCGGCCAAATAGCCATACATCCTAACCAACCAACACAAAAAAAACCTACATCACACACATAACGACATTTGCTTCAAAGTTCCAGCACACATATATATATGCGTACATAAATACACACACACACACACCCATATACATATATAAATAAATCAAGAATGACATCGCAGATCAAAAGGACGAATAGGAATACCTAATGTTTCCTGTTGTTGTAAGATCTTCTTTCCTGATGAGAGAGAGAGAGAGAGAGAGAGAGAGTGGGGTTTCTGTCCTCTATAAATCAGTTGGGGCCGGGGGGGTTTAGGTTTTACTCCTACGGTGAATTTCTCTCAAGTGTCGTACAGTTAAGCGCTATGATTTTGCCACGCTATCAAGGAATCGGTAATCGAGGATGGATGGACTTTTCGTGGGCTTCTAGGCCCAATGTGTGGTACGGATGGGCTGGATCGAAGCGCACTAGGAGGATGAAGGAATTCGTAAAATGAGGGGGGAGCGATAATCACTTCCTTCTGTTATATCTCTCACATAGTTATAGTTCCAAAACAAAACAACCATCACTAATTATATTTTTTAAAGTATTTTTCTTAAAAGTATTAAGTATTGTTTGATTTAATTTTTTTATTTTTTTAAGCATTTCCAAATTTAAAGATATTATTTGCATATAAATCACTTCTATAACATAAAAATAAAACGTGTTTTATTTATTGACAAAATTATTTGTAAAAGTATCATCCAACATTGAATTACATTGTTTTTTTGGATTGAGGTTCGCCCCTTTGTGATAAGCTCAATTATAAAAGGATTTTACATGCGTAAAGACTAGATAAAAATATGAAAGTGGATGGAAAGTAATACACTACACCTTCAAAAGCTTTGTGGAGAGTTTATTGACCCTATGAATTTCAGGAACCATTAAAGTTTGTTTTTTTTTAAATTAACTCAATCAATCGAAAGCTAGCTAGCTAGAGAATCAAATACTTTACACTAAGAACTAAGGATAAGCTAAACGAAAATCTATAATCTGACAACTCAAGGATCATCAATAACTACAATCTACAAAAATCTGTAATCCAGCAACTCAAGGATCATCAATCACTACAATCTTTAGGTCCTCAAAAGTTCTTTTGACAATCTTAGAAAGGTGCAGTGCCATGATCGGTCCATCCATACTTCTTTAAGAATTTTTTTAGTTGAGCATCGAAGACTTTTGCATAGTCCAATTAGTTACTTCTTCTCTTCGATCCGGAGCTTGTTAGATAATAGAGTAGTCTATTCAAAATTTCTTGGCAAACTCAAGATCACCTCTACTAGAGACCAAAGACATCGATTTTAATTGCCCCCAAGTGGTTGATGACATCCTTATAAAGGTGTGCAATGCGTTGTACTCGTATGCATTATATAAATACCTATATCACGTCAATAACAAGCACATATATTACCTTTAAATATAGCTGCTATCAAACATAAGTCTTATGTTTAAAAAGTAATCGGCTATGCTAACTCTATTCTTGGTATCACTACTATAACAAACCACTAGAATTGGTTCCCAATCAACAAAATATCGAAATAAAAGGGCAATTATCCACAACATCATTTAGTACTTCACTGAAAGGATAATGTTTGGGACAAAGACCAAAAGGAAAGTTCAAACTTGAAACGATAACCATTCATAACCCAAAAACAATAACATCAAACAACGTTAAGACCGATACACTAAGAAAAGTAAAGTTAACCCTAATTCAGTCATACAGAGACATTAATAGGCACCAAAGTATCAAATGTTCCAAACTATTCCCCAATAACCACACATACAGTCTATGGTGAGGTTTTAGCAACCCCACTAGGCTGAACAGGTTGTGCAGCTGGAGTAGCGTCATAGGTTCCACGAGCACTCCCGCTTGCATTGCCATCAGTTGTATACACAGGAGGTTGGGCATAGCCAGTACCATAAGGGCCGTTGTATGCTGGTTGTTGCTGTTGCCCATAACTTGGCTGAGTAGCAGGTGGTGCACCGTATGGTGAGGGATATGCCCCTGGCTGAGCAGTTGGAGTACCATAGCCGGATGGTGGAGCTCGTTGGGTACCAGAATCCGGCTGAGCATAACCAGATTGAGCAGTTGGTGGCTGAGAATGGGGATACCCTGGCTGTACAGAAGCAGGCTGGACATAGCCTCCTTGGGCAGTAGGCGACTGTTGGGGTTGCCCATAAGCTGGCTGACCAGCCAGTGGCTTCTGACCTTGAGGTGGTGCATAACCGGGCCCATATCCTGAAGGAGGTTGAGTCCCATAACCACCTTGGGAAGTTGGGGGTATTCCATAGCCCGGTTGGGTCGAACCCTGAGGCGGGTAACTTGGGTTAGGACTAGGCTGCTGACCAGAAGTGTATCCTTGCTGGCCCATTGCAGTTGAATGGGCTGGTGGAGGTGTTTGGTTGGCTTCCCCCTGAGTTCCGTATGAAGCAGCGTGTCCATCAGGCAGTGGGTTGGAAACATTACCATATCCACCAGTTGTAGAATTATAACCTTGCTGCTGATCATACCCTGGATTAGGATTTGGTGCCTGACCATACCCAGATTGAGGGGGAGGTGCATGATATCCACCATAGCCATCCTGAGCATAACCTTGTCCTTGTTGACTATAACCAGAAACTGGTGGCTGATTGTAACCATAGGCGGTATTATCTGTGGGGGCTACAGGACCACCAGGGGTTTGCTGCTGTTGCACAAGTGGCTGCTGACTATAGTAATCATACCCACCTCCCTGAGCAGTAGTCTGCTGGTTTGGTGTAGCAGTTGCCTGGTCCCAACCAGTGGCATATCCACCAGAAGTCGGTTGAGGAGGATAACCACCATAAGGTGGTTGACTCATGTTATACTGGGGAGTTGAGCCAGGGTATGCTCCAGGTTGAACGTAGCCATATGCAGGTTGTTGCATTGGTGCACCAGGAGGGGCCCAGCTTGTTGGAGGCCGAGCTTGGTAACCTTGCTGAGGATATCCTCCAGCTGGGTTCCTAAGACGATTCTGCACCAAGTTGTTATCTCAAATGAACAAAGAACACATGATCCAATAAACAGTTGAAATATCTACAAAAGAAAAGCAGAGTATGCTTGGGTACACATAGCTAGAAGAACATGTCCAGAAATTAACACGATCACAAGTATGTCATATGCAATTATCACAAAACAAAGGTTATACATTGCACAAGCACAATTGTATCGAGACAAGTTTAGGCACCTACATACCGTACTGGTTGGATGGTACTATTGATTTACTCCAGCAGAAGTCCATCCTCTACCTATTTGAAGTGAATGGGTGCAAAAAGAAGTTGCAAAAACCATAGCAGTTTTTCCACTGAAGTAGGAAATTACAAACTTCATTGCCATGAAGGCAACAGGTCCCATGGTCAACTGTCCACCCAATAAATAGAGAACATCCATCTAATCGATGCAGTGTATAATCAACAGAAGCATCTATATATAGAATGTGCATCCAGTGGAGTTAACAATACGACCCTAAAATATAACTAATTCAGATCCATCCAAGATGAGTTGAAGATAAATTCTCTCACCAAAATATCTACCTACCTCTTTACATAATGTGAAAGCTAAAGAGTTCAAATAATAAGTCAAACCAAAAAAAAAAAAAAAAAACTTTATCGTGAGATCTCGTGCATACAAAAATACGCAGATACAATATAAATTCATAGGTAAAGATTTTTAAAAATTAAAGCCAGATCAACGCCCAACTTCCAAAAAAGCCCCCTAATCTATTAAGGTATTTGCAGGACTCCTTCAAGGACAATAACAAGCGAGGGAAGAAATCAACAAAGAGACTGTGCAAGAAAGGATTCAGATGTACAGACACAGAATGTCATAAAATTTGTTTATGCTCCACACAAGCTAAGAGGTCAAAAGTCCAGTACTCACACAAAGAAACCCCCACTACCTGTTTAACAGAGAGGAATATTGTAGGAACACCCAAGTCAACATATTGAAACAAAAGAGCAGGAAGAGATACGAGATGATATCCAACTGATGGGTTGAAAATAATACAAGACCGACATATTAACCAAGTCTGATAACAAAAGCTAAATATTAATTTGCAACAAAAATAAATACTCACAATAATATTGAAAGCCGCCAAAAACTTAAGAGTTTAAAGCAGTTCACAGACTAAGTGAAATGATGAATATGGAACTTAAGCGAGAGAGAGAGAGACTATTGTATAGCTGTCACAGTACGAAGGAAGCACTATGAAGTATTCTGCGGACAGATAAAATCAGAAAATTCCTCCTCTAAACACACAGCAAACCAAATGTCAAAAAATAAGGAGATAAAAAATCGTGAATTACTGTTCTAAAAGCATTCTATATTAACAAATGCCTAGCAGATATATGCATATCTACATCATTGTGAAACACTCCATATCCAATATAGAAGCAGGTTTAAATCTTTTATCCCCATCAGCAGTAGATCCTCAACTTTTTCTCCATAATATCATTTCAATAATCAGAAAATGAGGTTCAGAACCATACCAGAACAATGCTGATGGAACACCAACACTAAGGGGTTCCATGTTGGTGTCACCAATAGTCCAATACCCACTAACCCCTACAATATAGTTCCCAATGGCAACATCAGTAATCAGGTACACAATTAGCAAGCACATTCCACACTAGAGCATGCTACAATCCAAATATATTCACTGAGCATTCAACTAAGAATGACTAGTAATTATTCAGATATATCCCAAATGTTACGGAAACTCTTATACTGCCTTAATTACCTCAGTGGCAAAGCTCATGTAACCTGCCTCATAAAACCAAAGTTCCAAATGTCCAATCAATCAATATAGGGCTTAAGCCATATAAAAGAGATCAATAAATATCACCAGTTATTGAAACTAAATTTCGCTTCTGACCAAATCCTCAACCTTTCTATCGACCAACTGCAGATAAAATGAATCTATACAAGTGACAAGTCAACTCCTGCAGTGAGACAGTCTACAGACAAAGAACAAGTTCATCTATTTGCATACAGGCAGAAACATTCCAGTTCCTACTTTGCAGCTAGAAAGCAGCACAGAATCAGTGACACAAAAGAATTCTCCCTCTCAAAGAATCATGAACAACAGAGGTCTGCCTCAACCATCCGATAATTATAAAAATTTTGAAACTTATAATTCTCATTTAACCAGGCCGAAAATGTAAACACAGAAATGGTTGGAGATATCTGCAATCCACTAGATTCACAAGCAGTGTGTAGAGAAGAAATCCAGGTGAGAAAAGCATAAATATAATCAGCTCGTTGGGGGAAAAAGAAATCGCTTTATGAAATAGAGGTCCACAAACAATAGTCTCTTGAAATTAAACACAGTAACTTTGGAAGCATAAAAGATGATTCTGACAGTGGACATTATTAAATTATTCATTCCAGAAGCAAGGAGCTGGGAAGCACTATCAACATTACTAAACCAGTCACAACTGACTGAAAAAATTTATTTTATAAATCCCAACCAACCAACACAGACATAGATTCTACTTCACACATACTGATCTATATAGAAAGAAAACTAAAAAGATTTTATTTTATTTTTTGATAGGAAAAATTAAAAAGGTTTTAGAGGACACATCCACCAACCCAAACGAAAATATAGAAAAGGAACCATAAGCATAAATAGACCATGCAGACAAAGAAGGGGGTTAGGCGTTGAGTCACATAAATGTTTACATTACAGATGAAGGTAAGGCATCTAATCTCATTAAAAGGGCCTCAGCAATTATTAAGGTGCAATATTAAGACATGGGTGCCACAAAACTAGACAGATGCAATTATGCTTCAATTTTATTTATTAAAAGAAAACATAAAACGAGTGCAATGCAGTGTTCTATGAATCACAGGAAAAAAAACAATACAAGAGATCTCAATCAAAGTATGCCTTTATAAGGAAGCAAATCCGGAGGGAATAATTGAAATACCTAAAAAAGATTATGAAATTGACAAAATAAACAAGAAACCCTTACCATGGAACCAATAACTGATGATGTTCCTAGAAACAAGAGGCTTGTGGACAACCTTTTTCCTTAAAAAGTTGCACAGATAAACAAAAATCTAACGACACAGGAATTGACATCACTTATAAATGTTGAAGTCTAAACATTAAACTACAGTGTTCACAACATATACAAAATATACTAAAAAAGCTACTGCAAGTGGAATCTAATACATGCTTGGTGGAATCTAATACATGTTTTTTGAAACCAAGTCCAAGCTTGCTTTACCCGTGCACATGTATACACGCAAAGATGGATAATACAAGTCATATTAAAATATATCCAATCTGCCTATTTTCTTCCACAAGTAAAAGACCTTGCAACATTATATAACTAGACATACCTCGCTGATTACTTCAAAGACCAACTTTTTTGCAGCCTCAATCTGTTCACTGGAGCCATCAATCTGTAATGTTCTCTCAGTTGAAGTATCACCAGGGGGCAAGTGTAAAGGAATCACCTGAACAAAATGGCATGGGCAAATCCGGTGACAGAACTTCAGAAAAACCAACATACACCATACAACTACAACAATATAAAATTGAAGCCAAAAATTCTATAACATCAAATCATTACTAAAAGAATCTGAATCGACTGTAAGAGAATCAGGAGTGAATAAAAGTTATAATGCACCTGAATACGAGCTCCTGATGATGCTTGCATATTTTTTATGGTCTCACCTCCTTTACCAATAATGAGACCAACCTGAAAATGAATACCTCATTACATTATACACTCAAAACAGCCCAAATTAGATACCCAATCAACTTCAACGGAACTGAACCTTATTGTTTGGGATTTGCATGACAAATTGTTCCGCTCCACCTAGCTGTCCAGTTAGCCTTCGAGAAACTACGCCAGAACCACCTGATTCAGCCTGTTTTAAACATGACATAAATGAGAAAAAAGAACAGTCAGAAGCTTATCCATCGTGTAGTACACAGCTGGATTAACAGCATATGTGAAATGCTTTCATCAGTAAGTTAACTGTTGGTAAATTTTAAACATCAACATCAAAAATGAAATGCTAATGTACAAAATCTAACTTGACAAAAGCAAGCTTACAGAAAATACAGAGAAAAAAATAGTATAATTGGTTAATGATGCACAGAAAATGTGTTACCTCAGCAAGAACATCTTTTATTAACTGCTCAGCCTTCGCTATTTGGTCTGGATCACCCATGAGCTCAACTCCTCTAGTAGGGGCATTTTTGTCCGCATCCATATCTCTGGTGACCTGAATCTTTGCTCCAGACTGAAGTTGTAGATACTTGATAGTCTCCCCACTTCTACCAATAACCACTCCAACTCTCTCATTAGGTATCTCTATTTTTTTGCTCCTACCCCCAAAACCATATGAACCTGTCATCAAAGGCGTCGAATACAGAGGCTTCTGCCCAAGATCTGCATTCAAGCAAATCCCAGTAACTGAAATTAGGATTACGTCTATGTTCAATAAACACACAGCCACGTAGCATTTATCAGTTGGTCAAATAAAACAAATCTCAAAACAATTTAAGAATAGTATACGTAAACAATAACCAAAACCCCACTGTTATGATCATGCAAAAACTTGCATAACAAAGTACACCAAATGCCACTAGGTACAACAAAGCCAGTACAAGACATACTATTAATAAGTATTAACGCATTGAACATCTCTATATTAAGAAAAAGCCTCACTGCAGATATGCTTAGGAAAATATGGTTGACAGAGTATATAGAGAAGAAACATCAATGGTTGAAACATTAAAACAAAGAGAGTAAAGTTTGCACATACTACACACACGTGTGTGTGCCCCTATATAATAGGATGAATATCCATATACGTACCCAACGTCAACACGTACACACATTCACGAATACACAGCATAAATCACACATCACCAATACATACATTTGTACTCAAAAATACAAATACACACACCTGTGTATGAGAAGAGCTATTTATACAGAGAGTGCTCAATCAATCCAAGTCATCAAAGAGAACAAAAATAATCTAGAGAGAGATCTAACAATTGGAATGCAAGCTGATACCCAACAATATCATTTGAATTAAACAACCAAAAGCATACGCACATCTATACTGTTGTATATAAACCGATGGTACAAGAAATCAAAATAGAAGACACAATGGAAATAAAAATGATGGGAAAAAAATCGTTAGTCAAGACACAACAGTCACTGTCTTCGAGATAATAATTTTCCCACTATGATGTATATGAACTCATGGAAATTCTATCCCCAGAATAGAATATCTAACATTTAAAACTATTTAAGATCGTATTTCTTAGTAGTTTCAGAACCAGAACTCAACCCGAATGAAATTCTAAAAAAATCCCAACAAAATATGATAATAGAATTTGAAATTAACAATTGACTTCATTTTTATGGTCAAGGATAAGAACCCTATATTTATAGTGTTTTATACTCCTCTTTAGAAGAGTTGTAACTCTTCATTTAAATGCTAATAGATACATTTATTTGAAAGGTTGTAACTCTTGTTTTTAAGAGTCATTTTAACCACTAATAAATAATTAGTTATATAATTTATCATTATTAGCATAAATTCATATATATACAACAATCCCCCACTTATTTACTAAAAATGATGTAATAAGAAAAGTTTCAGGTACAATATAACGCATGCCCTGAGATGGACAATCCCTTGAATGTAGGCTTAAACATGAAACTATGAACTTTAAATAAACAAAAGAACTAAGTCTTGATCTTGATGCATTCAAAGTTTAAGAAACATATTCGCACTATACACATAGTTCACGATCTTCCCAAGCCAACACATTAATAGGCCATGGGCTGATCCCGCTTAGCAAGTACTTTAAAGTTTTACCAAAAAAACCCGTAGGAAACGACCCTCACCTTCAACTCACAAAAGGCAAACTCATCAAAGGCGTTCCACAACCACTCTATCTCCCCACTATAAGCTATGAGTTCTGTTAAGGACAAGCTTCAACCTTCTTATTGTGTAGTAAGCAGTGCATTAACCAGATATGAGACTTTAGTTTGGAATAGGCTTACCCCCACTATTCTTAAAATAAGCAATGTGTTAGAAATGCAACGTGCGTTAAAATTTATTGGATAATAATTGACTAAATTTCCTTTAAACTCTAATTAAGAGATTTCCAAAACATGCCGACAACAACTTGTTAGAGTGGGCTACAGTTTAGACTATCTATATTGAATCGATATTACCTATCACAGTTTTTCTGATCATTTGACCACTTAGTGGTTTTGTTTAATATGGATCCAAAAATATAATCAATAGGTAATATTCAAGTATAACTTCACCTTTTTCCTCACAAGCTTTCTGGTATAATTTAATGTCGCTTGGCTGTCACAATGCAAAGTCATTGATCCTCAAAGTATATCAATAAATGAATGCATTTTATAAAATTCTTAATCCATAAAATACCTTTATTAGATATTGATACAACAGTATAATCAAATTTCATGGATGAAATACAACTCAAGAATACTTCTTAGAAGTCCAAACACCATTTTTTAAGCGAACAACAAATCACTATTGATTTAAAATTTGTTCTATCACAAGCCAAATTAGTATTACTATTGCATTCAAGAAGCCTATGCAATAATTATCTAATCCAAAGTTCAAAAAACATTATAGATAATATCAAAATACTACTCAATTCTTTCACACATTCAGAACTTGAATTATTTGTGATCTACAAAATATTCACATAACACAAGCAAAAGTTTAAATTTTACATTTACTCTAACCAAATTAATGCTAGAGTCAAATGTGTATCATACTCAAGATTCTTGAATTTGAAAAATATCATAGTGTATTTGGAAAAAGCATAGCCCCCACTATATTCTACATCTTACACATCAACTTTATTTATTGAACATGCCTTAGTTTCATTCCCTTTTTAATCATTTCAGGTTATTCTCAAATACAGGAGAGCCATCCAAGCATTAAAAGCATCATATCATATACCATTTATTATATGCATTTAATAACATTATGATGCTTAAAGGAATAAGACACAATCACATGATTAGAACTTTGTTCCATTTCTTTGATGCGTGTTTTAAATTAAGTAGCAACTAATCAACAAGAAAATCTGTGATTCCATTTCATCACTTTGGTACATGCGTGATACTTTAATGCAAACTGTAAAATGTATGCATCTCGTTCAAATCCAAATTTCTTTTGAAACATTGATGAAACTTTCATTCCATCAATTGGCTCGACGAAATCTATAAGATCATCTTCCTATCAAACCTTTATTTGAATAAAAGAACGTGTATCACTTCCTTTCAATTTTTCTTCGTTTTAAAAAATAAAAAGATTGTCTCAACTAGGCAAGTGTGAATTTCAAACCAGCACATATACATATCAATATAATTTTACCACGAGAATCCTCTTAAAATTTTCATGTTGGTCAGTTTATCCAAGATACTTCCAAATGAGCCAAAAACACCCAATATACTTCTTCCTCCCGAAAGCACAAGTAAACATTGCAAAGGAAGCATGGGTCCCATATTAAGTAAACACACCAAAAGAAACGATGCCACATATTATTGTTGTCTTCACTTTGAATTTCAAAAGTCCCTTGAACGGTGAGTATGCCAATTCTGAATATTGGTCACTTAATCAAGGCACACAGCTTCAGCTCCAAGAGTTATTTTTCAACGTAAATGAACCGACACTAGGCGTCTTTGTTATTTCTGCCGCTTTGATCAAACATTCTTTCTTGTTTGTGCCTGTCGGTTAAGGAAGCGACACCACTTTTCCTTCTTCCAACGGTCACTGGTTTTTCCACTCCGTGATCTTTTGTTATGTTCCTTCTGATTTCACCAGGATATTTCATATGTGATTTTCCCACTGTACAAATGCAATATAGAAGACAAAATTCTGATTTGAATTGAAACAAAAATTGATTTTTCAGTGTCAGATCCTTCACGTCGATAAAGCCACCTACTACCAAATGATCTCGAATGTTTTCGTATTTGACTAAAAATTTAAAGTCCAAAGAACCCCAATAATTAACTTTAAGATTCAGTTGCATTGTACAATGCATCAATTCTAGCATCACTTTCACCGATGTGCTCTTAATCACATCCCTTATTTTAACAAAATACAAAAACCAAGTGAAATGACAAGATTCCAACTGAGTCTCTAAACTATTTGATCATTCACTGTTTGTCTTCTAATTCATCAAAGCGATTTTATGACAAACCAAAAAGCAACCGAACTTTTTCTTGGTTCTCCATCACCACTGAAAAATTCAATGATGGAAACATTACTATCTCAAAATTGTTTTATATATACCGTTGGTACAAGAAATCAAAATAGAAGACACAATGGAAATAAGAAAGTTATAAAAAAGCCGTTACGGAAGGCAGGAGAATCGCTCTCTCGAGATAGATAGACTCATGGAAATTCTATCCCCATGATACAATGCCTAACATTTAACTAAGACTGCATTTCTTGGAACCAAAACTCAACCCAAATAAAACTCTAAAAACAATCTCAGCAAAATATGACAATAGATTTAGAAATTAACAACTGACTTCATTTTTATGGCCAAGGATAGAAGCCTACATTTACAGTGTTCCATACTCCTCTTTAGAAGAGCTGTAACACTTCATTTAAATGCCAATAGATACCTTAATAGATACATTTATTTAAAAGGTTGTAACTCTTGTCTTCAAGAGTCACTTTTAACCAACAATGAATAATTAGTAATATAATTTATCATTATTAGTAAACATTAGTATATATCCATCTATACACAACGTTTGCATTCCCTTCGCTTGCTATCATTTTTTTTCCTAACCAAACGGCCCCATAGAGAGACTAAAAGAGAAAGAGAGTGCTGAGAGACACTTGAGAGAGAGAGAGAAAGGGACGAACCAGTAGGACCAGAGCTAAAACCCTTGTTCTCCATGGAATCGAAGCCACTTCCTCCATTCTCAACCCTAGGGCGCTTAACTTCAGCGTTACTGAAGAGTCGTGCAGCGATCTCTTGCGCCTTCTGCTTTGCCAGCTGGATCTCATCGACGGGCGGAGGCACCGTATTGTACGACGGAGGCGCATCTGGCGGGGACTGAGATGAGATCGGAGCTGAGAATCCAGTAGGCCTCCGTCCACCGGATGAGGCCGGAGACGGCGTTGTTTGGTCTTCGTACTTGCGCTTGTTGGTCGCCGAGTCCGCACCGGAACCGTACTGTACCTCGTCGGCCATTGTTCTCTGTGAGGAGGATGCGGGAGTGGTGAGAACCCTAGATATAGCGAAGCGTAGAATTCGGTTAAGGATTGCTTTGGGTGTTTATATATGGGCTAGCGTAGACCGTCGTGCCGACTTGGAAAAGATTGGAAAAATTACACTTCGGCCCCCTTAACTATGGATTTGATTTTACGTTGCCTCTTTAACTATTAAATTTTTTATATTGTACCTTCAATTACTTGAATTATTTCACATTATCCCAAACACAAACATCATGTCACAACACAATTAAAAAAAATTATATAATTAAGGGATAAAATAAAATAATTTTTTTATCAAATTTATAACGAATATTAATAATTAACACTATATAAAATAAGTAATACTATTTAGATCTAAGAATTTGACATAATTTATTGATCTAATGATGTGTCTTTATTGTAACTATTAGATTAACATCAAGTCTCAATGTGTTGATAGGACCCACAATCAATCTAAAAATTATAATGAATTAAATTAATAAATTAGATTTCAATAGTATTATTCGTGTAAAATTAATCACATAGTTGCAAAATACATTGTAAAAAAAATAATTGTTGAGTGGAAAAAGATCATATTTGAGGAATAAAAGTGTAATTTGTCCGAAAAAAATTTTAACAATGTTAACCAAGGAGTAAATATTTGGTCACATGTCAACTTCATCACGTGTTATTATTGTCTAAAAATAAATAAATAATTGAGCAAGTAACCCCTATTTTTTGAATATATGATGATTAATATTTTAGAGCAACTCCAACGGTAGGTGCCATTAGGTATGGCAAATCCCTAACTGTCAAAATACTACCCCAAAATAAAAAAATTTTACTCAAAGAGAGTAGCATCAAGGGTTACAAAATAACACTTCATGGACTTGGGGGTGACAAATTTGTAAAATATGGAGAGAAAAAGTGGAGGTTCCAAAAAAACGATTAAAAATACAAAGAGAAGGAATGGAGAAGGGGGTTTGCCTAAAAATCGTTGGTGTCTACTGCTTACATGGAAATCGCATGCCTGAAAATGGAATTGCAGGGGAAGGGGAAAGGGGTAGAGTCTGAATCACAGGGAAAGGGAAAGGGAAAGGGAAAGGGCAAGGGCAAGGGCAAGGGCAAGGGCAAGGGTTTGTCTTTGATCGTTCCAGGCTACTATTTATTTTAGGACAAATGATACTTTGTATCCCAATTTTTTTTCATATTACACCATTGTATTGTCACATTACACTATTAAATTTTTTTCTATTATCATATTACATATTAATTTTTTTGTATTGTCATATTACACTATGATTTTTTTTGTATTGCTATTATTTATGAAAAACTATGTATCGAAAATATAACTTGAAATTGAAATTGAAATTGAAAATGCAACTTGAAATTGACATTGGAATTGAGAATACTAAAAATATTAAAATAGCATCCCATTTTGGCACCTACCATTGGAGCAGATTTAAAAATCAGGGATACCAAAACATTGTTTAAGGTTGTAAAATGACATTTGACACCCCAAAAATAGTAACTCCCCTTAGAGTTGCTCTTACTTTAAGGGTTCGTTTGGTAGACGTATTTTGAGGGGATTAAATATTAGATTGTATTATTTTTTATTTAATTAAGCCTAATACTTTATTTTTGTAAACAAAGTTGATATCGTATTAGTTTCAAAAACGTATTATTCGTATATTTTATGTACGATAGACATATATTATGGAGACATTTTAATACCATCAAGAGAGATAATATTTTAATACAACTCAAACGTATTATTATATACATTTACTATTATAACCCCCGACTGATAAAATCAAATTGTCATCAATGTAACAAACATTGATCGAGATTATTTTTATTAATTCAACATTAATATTATAAAATAATTTTTTAATCAAACAACTGATTGGATTAAATAACTACTCTCCAACGTTTATGTTGTGTATTACCAAACATTAGATAAAATTACGTATTATTCTAATACCTCATTTAATATTGTCTTTTATTTTTTTGTATTGTATTGGATTGAATTATTTTATCTAATCCATCAATTTTTAATACGACAGTCAAACGAACCCTAAGTGGTTATTTGAAAAAATGAGGTCCATTTTATCTAATAGTTAAGTTATGCACCACGTAACAATGTTAACGTGATATAACTTTTGCATCCAATATTTATAATATAAAATACAACAAATTTCAATAAGTTCATTTGATGGTTTCAAATAAACTCATCTAACGACCACCAACATCTTTTTCACAACCATTAATATTGCATCATGTCTTCAGACACTGTTAGACCTAATTACTCTATATATAGCAAATATTCTTACCAAATTTCCGAATTATAAAATGGCACAAAAGGCAAAAAGGAAAAAAAATTCCATGGCACAATTTTCGCCACAAGTAGATGTAGATTTCATTTTGAGCAAAATTGAGAGAAATGTATTAGAAATAATTTAAATCCGAACTTTAGTGTCCCAAACCTATAAAACATCAAAACCTAAAACGTTTTTGGAAAGTACACTTAAAATTTAACGCTGTCCATATAGGGGTTTTGCTGCGTCAGACAATAACATGAAGCCACCATATTGCGTTGTCATCAATTGAGTAACTTACCTAAGAAGAACAGCCTCTGTAGACTGCAGTCTGTTACCGTTGAGAAATGTTGCATCCATAAGGCGGCTACTACCTGCTTTTCCGGGGTTAGAGAGTTGTAATCTGTTGAAGATACATGGCAACCATGTCGTCCACATTTTGTAAATGGCGAAAACAATTTAACATTTCTTTCTCGCGCCACAATGCTTAACCTCATCAGATCAACAAAAAAAGAGCCGAAAAAACGCTACCAGACATCCAAGATGTAGCAGAAGAGATTTATCGAGTGAGATCAGATGCAACTACACAACAATCCGAGACAAGCATAATCAAAATAAATTCCCACTTTCAATCGCCTAACTACAAATTGCACATAATTTATGAGCAATCCTTCGTATCAAATCCAAACTTGAAGAAAAGCCATACAAAAGTAGATAAAATACAAGAACATACACAGGTTCATGCAAGCCATTGTATTAGAGAAATCTCTTCCTCTGAATGGCACCTGGCACAGGGGAAGCCACCACAGTTTGTGTTTATTCTTACTAAGCATTCAGCTAAAGCTGAACCGGAGTAGATTGAACACCCCTCATTTGGTCCACCACATCAGGAAATCCTTACGCCTGTTGATCTTCTTCTGTAGCTGAAGCAGTCCATAAAGTAGGGCCTCAGCGGTGGGTGGGCAACCCGGAACATAAATGTCAACAGGGACAATCCTATCACAGCCACGAACAACAGAATACGAGTAATGGTAATATCCTCCACCATTTGCACAGCTTCCCATAGAGATGACCCACCTGGGCTCGGGCATTTGATCGTAGACCCTACAAGAAAATTTCAAGTTGTATCATCCCACAATATGAGCGGACCATAGTTTTCATGTCTGTTTTACTCTAACCGACAACAGCACATTCCAACAGAAATACATAACAACATGAAATTACAGAAAGACCCATCTAGAATATTATAAGTAAGAGAACATTTCATGAGCTCAGGCAGTTGCCCAAAAAAAAAGAGACTCATTTTTAGGTTTCTTT